GGAGGGGGGGCTTCCTTTGGCCAAGTTGAATAGCATTCCATTTCTGGGAGGGACCTTAAACCGCAGCCTAATCTAACCAGATGCATGTCTTTTTTAAAAAATATATATTTTATTGATTTTTCAGAGAGGAAGAGAGAGGGATAGAGAGTTAAAAACATCGATGAGAAAGAATCATTGATCAGCTGCCACTTGCACACCCTCTAGTGGGGATGTGCCCGTAACCAAGGTATGTGCCCTTGACCAGAATCGAACCTGGGACCTTTTAGTAGGCAGGCCAACGCTCTATCCACTGAGCAAAACCGGTTTTGGCTAGATGCATGACTTTGAACACCAGAAAAAGCCAGGTAGCCTGCTGCGGGGTCCAGTGATGGCAGCTGGCAGTTGGAACCCACATTTCTCCAGTTCTGCATGTGGCCTGCTTATGATAACCAGCCAGCCACCTCGGAGGTGCCCGAGAAGTCTCCCCCACCTTCTTTCCCTCCTCCTTGTCCAGTTTTGCACCAAACTGGTCTGTGCCCCAGAAGTTGCTCAATTAAGTGAGACAGGTGCAGAGCACATTTGGGAGGAAGGAAGTGTGACTTCCAGCTTGCCCGGGAGGTGCGCCTCCCCAGGTAGCATTTGCTACATAAGCTGCGCCTGATGAGTCTGATGAGTGTCAGCAGCACCGTCTCAGCCGGGCAGGCCGCTCGGCTGTCCCCAGAGCAGCGCTGTGGAACCGAGGCCTGGAGGAGGCATCGGACGAGTAGGGCCAGTTCTCGGGTGTTAGCCCCAAAGTGCTCTCCTCCTGCCGCACACACTCAAGAAAAACCAGTTTTCGGAGCTAGCGCCACACCTCGGATCATATGATGCAATCCGATATTGGCGTCTCATTGCATCAGCGTTTCTGACGCATGTGTCTTCTGCTCTGGCAAAGAGGTTCCTAATGGGAAAGGAGAAGAAAAAAAAAAAAAAAAGGAAAGAAAGAAAGAATGAAAGACTCGCTGGCTAAAAGCTTAAAGGTACCGTCAGTGCTGTTCCTAATTGGCCACACAGGGTGTTTGCAGAATAAACACTCAACCAACTACCGCGGCCTGACAAGCAGCGACGTGCCGTTTCCTGAAGGGGCCTTGATGGCGTCTTTAGGCGAAATTCCTCCCTGGTTGGTTCTATTTGTGTTTTATATCAAAGCATCAAGACTTAATCTCCTAAATCTCTTTCACTGCTAGTAAGAAGAGGCTTTCAAAGGGTGCTTCGGCTCCCTGTCTCCACCTTTCTGAACATCTCTCATCTCCAGAGTTCTTTTTTTTTTTTTTTTTTTAATATATTTTATTGATTTTTTACAGAGAGGAAGAGAGAGGGATAGTCAGAAACATCGATGAGAGATGAACATCGATTGGCTGCCTCTCGCACACCCCCTACTGGGGATGTGCCTGCAACCAAGGTACATGCCCTTGATCAGAATCGAACCCGGGACCCTTCAGTCCGCAGACCGACGCTCTACCACTGAGCCAAACCGGTTTCGGCCAGAGTCCTTTACAGAAGTGCTCTCGGCTCCCCGGACACAGACTTTTGACGCTCATCAAGCACAGCACCTTAGATTTGGACCTCGGGGTTTGCCTGTGTCTCTTTAGACATTCTTTTGCCTCTCCGTCTTGCTTCTTGCTATGATGAAGGAATGAATGAACTGCTAACATCCCAGAACTCTACCCGTCCCCGGGAAGTTGTCTGAAGAAGGAACTTCCTCGTACAGAACAGCCGAGGAAAAAAGGAAGCAGGTAGAAATCTTTGGTAGGAGACCATGTGATCCTGAGATCATAACACAGACCCCTCCCAGGAGGCACCGCACACCCTCAAGGAGGCGCCAGGATCTTCTGGCAAAAAAATAAATAAATAAATAAATAAAAATCAATAACTCATGAGGCTCTCCATGAGTTAGCCCGGGCCTGCTTCTTCAGTTCTAGCTCGTGGCTCCTCTCACTCAGCCCTAAAGGACGCTTTCCCAACCGAGGGTCATGTCTCTCAAGATCCCTAGACTCTGTGTCTGGGATTGCTCCCTCCAGAGAGGGAAAGAAACATCAATCAGTTGCCTCCCAAGAGGGCCCAAAATGGGGATCGAACCCACAACCTTTTGGTGTTCAGAACGATGCTTCCATCAACTGAGCCACGCGGCCAGGGCTGGTGAGTCCTATCCATCCTGAAAGTCAGCCGAGCCTCCCACCGGGATGCCGGCCCTGACCCAGCAGAGGACGGATTCCCTTGCCGCGATGGTCCAATGAAGGTGTCACTCTGCAGCGCTTGTGTGGGGGCGGAAAAGCTGTCCCTCACCCTCCCAGAGTCTCCAGCTGGGACTGAAAATTACACCGGCAAAGACAGAGAAACAGGAGAAAAGGATACTCGCTTATTTTAATGTCAGTGCTCTGTGAAATATAGGGAAGTGAGGACCCGGAGAACAGCTCCTGTGTTTTTCTGCTGCAGAGTGGATAGCCATGGGACTGTGGTAGGTTGAGGGGTGGGAGGCAAGTGTCTAGATGAGGGGAACTTATCAAGGCTGTTTACTAGGATTCTTCCAGGTGGCCCTACATCACAGATAAGGATGCTCTTTTCCTCCAGGACACAGACCCGAAGGGCACCTCTCCCCTGAGGGCTTTATGGCTCATTTCAGAGAAGATCTGAGGGTGGGGGCGAGGGTCAGAGTGACCTTCCTGCTCCGGCCATTTTCTCCAAACGCCTTCAGCTTAAAATAGTCAATATGCCAGCCCATGTGGCTCAGTGGTTGAGCGTGGACCTATGAACCAGGAGGTCAGATTGGATTCCCTGTCAGGGCACATGCCCAGGTTGTGGGCTTGATCCCCAGAAGCAGGTGTGCAGGAGGCAGCCGATCAATGATTCTCTCTCATCCCTGATGTTTCTATCCCTTCCTTACTCTCTGAAATCAATATATATATTAAAAATATATATTCAAGCCCTAACTCGTTTGGCTCAGTGGATAGAGCGCTGGTCTGCAGACTGAGGGGTCCCAGGTTCGATTCCGGTCAAGGGCATGTGCCTTGGTTGCAGGTACATCCCCAGTGAGGAGTATGCAGGAGGCAGCTGATCGATGTTTCTCTCTCATCGATGTTTCTAACTATCCCTCTCCCTTCCTCTCTGTAAAAATCAATAAAATATATTTTTAAAAAATATATTCAATATGCCAAGGTGCCACATTTTGGGGTAGCCTGTCCTGAACCCAACCCTCACCACACCGTGTATTGACATGTGTTCCTGTGAGACCTTGCATTCCTTCAGGGCAGAAATCTTGTGTATCCCCAGCATCCAGCACTGTGTGTCTTGCATGTACCAGGAGCTCACCAAATATGTCAGACGATGAAAAATTTCCATCAACACTAGCTTTCCGTGCAACCTTGGCCTCCAAGATAGCTACTCATCAATGAGCAAACCTTTATGTAACCTTGCCCTGTAACAGCATCTGACCACATCCTGGAGACACATCCATAGGCCGTGGGGGGGGGGGGGGGGGGAGGGGGGGAGAGATAGGATACAGCTTCTTTCAGTGCAGGGGGAAATTATTCAAATTGTATTCGTGCTTCATTCCAATCACTCAATTAGGGCACGTCCCTCGCTGGCGGAGGCGTGAGCGAAGTATTTTCCAGCGAGTGTCCTCAGGTGACCTGTCTAGACATGCCGGGGAGAGACAGACTAGCTTTCTCTCGATCCCCCGCAGGAGCCTCTGGCGCGCAGGACGCTCTGCGTGCGTAGCGGGCCCCGGGCGGGCTGTGGGGCCCGGGAGGGGAGGGGAGCGGGGCGGGGTGGCGCCCCGCGCAGGTCCGGGTGGGCCCGGCTGTCTGTCCCGCGAGTGCGGGGCGCGGGCCGGGCCGCCGCGGGGTCCGCCGGCCGGCAGGGGGCGCGCGCGCGCCAGGGCCCCCCGCGCCGCCCGCCCGCCCCGCCGCGCGCTCGCCTGCCGCCCCGGGCCGCACAAGTGTTTCTGTTTTGTGTGTAGCGTTTGTTCTGGAAGCCTGTATTTACATTCTAAGTCTATCTGGTGAGTGGGCCGGAGCCCGCGTCTGGGCCGGGGTGGGGGAGGGAGGAGGAGGAGGAGGGGGAGGGCGGGGGGAAAGCCCTCGGGTTCGTCTTTTAGTTGCTCCTCTTCCTTTTTCTCTCTGGCTTCTCATCACTCCAACCAGGTAGGGGCTGGGAATCAAAAAATCAACAAAGATCAGTTTTGCGGGATCTGGGAAAGTTTTTTTTTTAAGAGAAGAAAAGGTAAAAAAAAAAAAAAAACTGGAGAAGGGAGGGGGATTGGGGGACTGAATGAATAAAAAGGGGAAGGAAGGCGGATCCACGTGGTTTAATCCGAGACAGACAGAGATCCCATTGTTCAAAATCAATAAAAAAAAAAAAAAGGCAGCCAGGGCCCAGGCGCGGGGACGCCCGCCCGGGGAGAGTGGCCGCGGAGCCGGGCGCTTTGCAGCCGGGATCGGCGGCATCGGCCCGGGCGCACCTCCGGGAAGAAGGACCGGGAGAGTTGGGCACCATTAAAGTTTTTATTTTTCGTGTCTGTGCGAGCAGGTGTTTGGGGTCGGGGACCTGCTTTAGCCACCCCACCCCCCCCGCTTCCCTCGTCGGGGGCAGACCACCCACCCAGAGGGATCGGGAAATTAGGAGCCTGAGGTCGGAACCCCCAGGCTGGGGCGGAATTGGGATTCGGGCGGAGAGAATCGCCTTCCATTGAGCGGGCTCCTCGGGGAGGGGGGCCCCGAAGAAAAAAGCAGCAGGTGGGGTGGCTGGGGAGGGGGGGGACCCCTTTCTCCCCGCGGAGGGGCCGGGAAGGCTCTTCCGAGTGCCCTGACGCCTCCTCTCATTGGAACGTGGGGGCCGGAGGCTTCTGCTCCTCTCCCTTACTTTTTGGGGAGCCACAGTCTGCAATGGTGCCGCGATGCAGACAAGCCTAACTTGCGGATGGGTCGGGGGAGAGGGGTCTCCATTTTTTTCTCTTTTTTCTTTTCTTCTTTCTCTCGCCGGATGGCAGTTGGGGGACCCTGGCTCCCGTGCGGGATTCCCCGGAGGAGGCGCGCCAGGCCCGGGGAGGGGCGCGATTTCCTCCCGGCTCACCCCCTCTCCGCCCGCCCACCCCGCGGCCGCCGCTTCGGGGCGGGCAGGGGAGGAAGTGGAGGCCGGTGGCGGCGGCTCCGCGGCGTCCCCTCCCCCCGCGCAGTTTATAACCCGTCCATTGTGCGCCGCTGCCCGTGTGTGTCTCCCTCCAGCGCGACCATGCCCAGGAAGAAGGCGGCGGCGGCCTGGGAGGAGCCCAGCTCGGGCAACGGCACGGCCCGCGCCGGGCCCAGGAAGCGCGGCGGCCCCGCCGGCAGGAAGCGCGAGCGCCCCGAGCGCTGCAGCAGCAGCAGCGGCGGCGGCAGCAGCGGCGACGAGGACGGCCTGGAGCTCGACGGGGCGCCGGGCGGGGGCAAGCGCGCGGCGCGGCCGGCGGCGGCCCCCAAGGCGGGCGGCGCGGCGGTGGTCATCACCGAGCCCGAGCACACCAAGGAGCGCGTCGTGAGTGCGGGGTCCGGGGTCCGAGGGCGGCGGGGAGGGGATGGAGGGGGGGGGGATGTTTGAGGCCCGCGGCGCGCCACGCGCGTTCCGGCCGGGGCGGCGGGGCCGGCGCAGGCCACGGGCTGAATCATCGCCGCCGCCGCCGCACAACAAAAGGGCGCGGGGCGGGTGCGGGCCGGAGGCGGGCGCGGCCGGTGGCCTCTGGAACCCCGCGCGCCACCCGTCCGCGCGGCGGTTGGGCCTGGGGGCGCGCGCCCCGGGGCCCCGGCGGGGGAGGGGAGGGGCGGCCGCCCGCCCGCGCGAGGGGGTCATGGCCCCGCCCCCGGCGCCGCGCGAGCCGCCCGCCTCCGCTCCCCTCCCCCTCCCGCCCCGGGAAGGGAAGGGAAGGGAGACTTCGGCAAGTTGTCTCGGGCCGGAGTAGGGGATGCGCGCGCGGGGCCTGACGCCCCGGGCCCCCGGCAGCCCCCCGGCCTCCTGCGGCCGCCGGCCAGCCCGGGCGCCGCGGGGAAGGGGTCCCGGCGCGCCGCGGGGAGCGGCGGTCTGCGCCGCGGCTTTGAGGTTCCCGCCGCCTCGGCTCCGGCTCCCCGGGGGGGCGGGGCCTGGCGGCCGCCGCGCATGCCCCTTGCGGCCCGGCACTGGCTCTCGCGCCGCCGCCGGGGAGACGGGGGCGGTCGGGGCGGGTGCGAGGGCGCATGCTCCGGAGAGCCCCCCCTCTCCCCCGGAGGTGGGATGCCCCCGGCTGGGAGGTATTGGGGCTTTGTTCCTCGCTTGGGGTCCGGAGGCGCGGGTGCGAGGTGAGAGCTCCGGGCAGCGCTCCCCCCTCCACTCTGCAAGAAGCGACTCCGTGTGGGCTCTGAGTGGGCTTAGCATCCCATCACCGGGACCCTCTCAGCTCAGGTCCCTGCAGAGCCAGAGCTCTTAGCCTGGCTTCTGGGATCCTGGGAACCTACACGTTTGGTGCGAGATGAATGTGCTGGAGAGGGTCCGAGCTCCCCAGGTTCTCGGGCGATCCTGAGAGAGGAAGAACTTCCACGTAGGTCTTTGAATTTGACCTCTGGAGAAGGCCTATGCTCTCCCCGCAAAGGGTGTGTAAGGGTTAACGGCTCCAGAGTGCTTGCCTCCGGAGGAGCGCTGGCAATGCTAAAATGGTTAAAAATAACCCGCTTTGTAGAGGAGAAAACTGGGGCACAGTGTCGGGGCCCAGCCCAGAATCACACGCAGCTGGGTTTCCACACCGGCCCAGGTGTTTTCTGACATCATCCTCACGCCCCTGCACATCGTTCCTGTGAAAACGCTTGGTAACTGCCCTGGCTGGCTGGTCCCTAAAATGGCTTATCTGGGGTGGGACCGTGCCCGGGAAATGGCCACAGTCTTATTTTCCCCCCGACCAGTGGAATCCTCTGTGAGGCCCCAGACGTTTGCCCTCAGCCTCTGGATGGTAGGAGAGCTGAGAGAGCAGGTGGATTCTGCCTCTGCTCTGGTCTCCCTCCTGTGAGTTGACAGTCAACCTATGAGAGCAGTGAGTTTTGTGAGGAGGTAAGATTCTTAGCCAGCGCTGGGACCTGCCCCAGGAGCGAGCCAGGGAGAGAGGGTGAGGGCCTCTGGGCTCCCACCAGCTGCCTGTCTGGTGGCAGTGGCACTGAGGAGTCTGACTGGGAGACAGGGCATACCTTGCTGTTGAAGGTGATTTTATACTTATATCTTTTGGGATCTTGAGAGAGACAGCCACCATCCTAGGCGCAGGAGACTGAAGGACAACAAATGCTTTTTTATGCCTACTGGAAAGTGCACACCCCAAGTTTTTTAAGTTTTTATTAGCATCCAGGAGGCCCATGCTGCCCCGTTGCCCTCATAGGTCTTTGTCGGCACTGCCCAGTCCTGCACGGACCTCCTGCCCAGTGTCCCCAGTATCCCAGGTTCCTGGCTGCAAAGGAAAAAACGCGAGGTCTCTGCCTGTTAAGCAGTCCCAGGCCCACAAGTCTCCAGCTCGTCTCAGAAAGAGGCTTTTGCTGAGAATTCCGCCAGCTCACCACCAGTCAGGGCCGTTTGGAGGAGGCTTGTGTGAGAGCAGCCGCCAGGAGTTTGTCTGAAATTGTGTTGCCTTCAGTTAACGCAGAGCTGCAGACTCTGGGCTTGTGAAAGAGGAACCCCAGATATTTGTGTGGTTGAGGGGAGCTGCCTTAGTGAAGGATGAGCATTTTTATAAAATGTCCTCACTTCAGCCTCAGGAAATGGGCTCTCCAAGGTCCTTGGTTTATATGTTGCTGTGTCAGACGTGAGCACGTTGTGAAGGTCTGGAGTTGATGCAGCCTGAATTCCCTTCATAATCCTGTAGAGTGTAGACAAAGCGAGCAACCTGGCTCAACCTGGAAACATAGTCTTTTGTGTGGGGTTGCTGAGGACCCTGAGAGATCTCCCCTCTGAAAGGCCAAATAAATACAACTGGAAGCCGAGCTTCAAGTCCGAGTGGAAAGCCCGTTAGGGAGTTGGTTGTTGCTGGCATTTCTCTGTACGGTCTTCCCTCCACCGAGAGGGAGCAGCAGCCTTCCAAACGGATATATGTTAAAGGTTGCCTCTCGCTCTCACAGACATGCTCCTTGCACTTGGGCAATAATTCAGAGCTTGCTTTGGACCAGAAGCCCCATTTTGTCGATTGAAGAAGCTCAGTGCATTTTCCCGCCGGGGTCGTTTATCTCTGCCAGCTCACGTGACCGCGTTGTCAGGAGGCAGCAAGGTGAAGTGAGATCCATTCATCCAGTTGAGTCTTCCCTCACTTTAGGCACATGCAGCGTTTCAGACACTGAGCTCGTCCAAAAAAGAATCTCTTGTCTGTCAGTGAAGGTGGCTTCTATTCTCCCTGGGAGGGTCTTCCAGCCGTGACAGCCACCCCTGGAGGGTCTCTGGACGGAGCCCCCAGGCATTCGGGGTTTTTCCCAGCTGGGTCATGCAGCTCTCTCACCACGTGGGACTTGGGCTGTGATTTAAGGGGTCATAGGAATTCTCCTTATTTTAGTTTTTAATTTCAAAGAAGATAAAGGGGAGAATTAAATTATAGAGGAATAAAGGTAATAGTCTATAGCAAATAATTGTTTGCAGTATTTCCCAAACTTTTGACATATGTGTACCCCTTCTATAATTTTCGTAACGCTGAGTACCCCTCGTACTCATGAGAACGTAGAATTAGGCGCAGCTAAGCACGGTGCAGTGCATATCTCCACCAAACTCCGGTGCAACGCGTACCCCCACCAAACTTCCCGTACCACTGGGGGTATGCATACCACACTTTGGGAAACACTGGTATAGGTAACAGCTCTGAAAGAGACAACTCCCTCCATCTGGCACCTGAGGAATTAAGGCCCGTGACAAAAACCTGGATTAGACAACAGCCCACACAGCAGGCGCTGCAGTAGACTCTTTCATCAAGGACTTTTAGAAACGCCACGTCGGGTCAGAAAGGTTGGGTTTTGTGTAAATTCTTAGCTGGCTTGATGGGACCAGTGTCCTCGGCCTCCTGACCACTGATGCAGGTGCTGGTCACAGGAGTCCCTGCTCCTGCCCGGGGCGCTGGCAGCTCTTTCAGGCGGTGAGGGAGCTGCTGGTCCTGCACATGGCACCCAGGGCCTCTGCCCGCCAGGGGGAGGGAGGAAGGGGGGGCAGAGGGGACCTGCCAGACCTGAGCTGCCCTCGTCCCGCAGCCCCTTTCCCACCAGCCATTCTCTGGCCTGGCAGCTCAGCCCGTGGTGCCTCAGTTCCTTCCCTTGTCTGCGACCTGAGGAATACTGGAGAGCAAGTCTGAGATGGCCGAGGCCCAGGGCTGCCCCTTCCACGGGGAACCTGACAGAACCCACTGGCTGCCATTCACCTGTGAGACCTGTAGAATGTTCCAGCCGGGCCCGCCAGCTACACAAAGAAGGGGAGAGATAACCAGGGGAAACTCGGCTCCCGTTCAAGTAATCCGAGTCTGGGCTCTGCAGGGATGGGCTGCCCTGCGATTAAGGCCGTCCTCTAAATTATTTAAATGCAGCCAAGTCGGTCTCCCTCCCTGGCTGTCTGCTCCCCCTTCGCATGCTGGTCCTGTAGGTGGACCAGCTTCCAGCCAGGGAAACACGGCCTGGTGGGCGCGTGTGACGGGACCTGCACTGTGGGGTCACACAGGTCCTAAGAGACAGTCATTGATGCTGAAGACGGGCTTGTCTTTACAAATGACGTGCCATGTTGCCAAAACGTCCCACGGGGCAGTCCCCGCTAGAGGCTGGAATGACGAATAATGGCGTCCAGAGCAGGTTGGCCTTTTCTTCTTTAAGCTCCCAAGAACAATTACAGGGAAACTGATCCTTCTGTGTGTGGGGACAGGGAATGGGATGCATGGGGACAGGGGGACGGATGGGATGCATGGTCACTGCCTCCTTTGCCTGGTGGGACCGAGTGGATAGTTCAGAAGTGAATCTTGGACGGCAGTCTATTTTGAAAAGTGTATTTGGGCATTCAGAAGTACAGCAAAGTGCTGGAAATATGATGAGTGCCACCCAGAAGCGGGCAGTGGCTTCAAAGGTGCACATCCTCCAGTGACTGTTTGAGGATGGGATTGGCTCACAGCCTTCCTGCCTACGGCCAGCCGGCTGGGCCCTGGGTGGTCCCTTGTTCCGCTCCACTGATCCCCCCTAATGGGCCAGCAGGAGGAGGAGCCCTGCTGGAGGGGCGGGGCGGGGGGGAGGGGGGTCCGGGGGTAGGGGGGGGGGACCCACCAGGTGGAGAAGCTGAGCACTTCGCCTTCCCCTGAGATGCTCCTGCACAGCGGGCCGCAGAGGAAGGATGGGGAATTACCGGCCAAATTACAGTGCTGAGGTGCCGCGGGCTCCCAAGGCTGAAGTCCATGTGCGGAATGTCATCCTTGTGAGAAAATGCAGACTTTGCCCCAGGGACAGCTGGTTCAGATTCCCCTGGTGACACGGGCAGAGTGGAAGGGAGGGATGTCATTTTTTGGCCAAAAAAAACCAACACCATTTTAAAGAGAAATCAAAGGATAAAAATGGGCCCATCATAACTGGGCGGCACTGAGATGAGCACGCTGGAGTGGGCCAACAGGATGCGGAGTACCTCGGGCCGCGATCGCTGGGCGAATGTTGCTATTGTATTAGTTTTGTTTCCTGCTGCTGTTGGACAGACTGAGAAAGCTAATTCTTTTTTCCTCTGTGTCTCTGCAGAAAATTGAAGGGTCTAAGTGCAAAGGGCAGCTTTTGATTTTTGGGGCAACGAACTGGGACTTGATTGGTCGGAAAGAAGTGCCTAAGCAGCAAGGTATGAGAAACGGTTCTAAACATGTAAGAAGCTCCTCTTTCTCACGTGCTTCCTCTGTGCTAGGTGTTCGATGGAATTTGGTGACCGTCCACCAGGTAGGTATTTTCTTCATTTACAAGATTGCTCAGAGAGGCCAAGTAACTTTCCTGAGGCCACACAGCCATTCTAGGGATGGAGCTGGTTTTGAACCCTATTCATGTGCGTATCTCTCACCTTACAATTCTCCTTTTAAAAACCAATTCCCTTAAGGTTCAACAGAAAAATGTAAATGGCAGCCTCAAATAAACATGGACACCTTTCCCCCATTTTCCTTCTCATGTCACTTATTTTTATTAAACTAAGAGCTGGCCCTGTGGGATGTTGAGATGTTGAGATGTCTTAAGACATCTGTCGCATGTCGAACTCAGATATTTCAGAAGAGTCCACGTTGCTTTGCAAGCTGCCAAATGTTGGAAGTAGGGAGACAGAGAACCTTCAGCCCCCAGATGCTTTTTGAAGATCGGTGTCTTTCCTCAGGAGAGGACCGGCCGGAGGTGGCGAAGGGAGGCTGGCCCCATGCCACCGTTTATGGCTTTTTGGTGTCATTTGGAGAGTTCCCAAAAAGCATTGCCCAGTGAGCAAATATTTGCACCCTGACACTCCCTGGAGCCGCAGACCTGGAAATGGTCTCCTTTCATGAAAACACAGGGATCTCCGGGCCTGCTCGGGGTCCGGCTGAATTAGAAGTGGGTCCCAGCCATTTTCTCCTGCTTTGGGAAGTGCCCACACTTAGGGCCCATGGCCGGGACCCCCTCCCCCCCGGCCCGCTGTTGGTGCCACCAGACAATCCCTCCCCGTGTGTGATGGCCCAAGTCTGCCAGCCTCGGACCTGGGTGGCCTCTTCTCAAAGCTGCTCTTCGCGCGGCGGCCACTCGCAGTGATAACGCTCGGGCCCACGGAGGGGAGTCAACTGCCGTGGGACGTGGCGGCAGAGCCTGGTCGTCTCCTGCGGGTGTGGGGGGGCTCCGGAGGCAGGGAAGCCTCCTCTAGATGCTCTATCGGGTCTTCAAACTACGGCCCGCGGGCCACATGCGGCCCGCAGAGGTGTCTGATCCGGCCCGCCAGGTTTTTTGGGCAGTGAGCGCAGCCGAGGTGTTACAGTAGGAATTAGTAGTTCATATAGTCCGGCCCTCCAGCTCTCTGAGGGACCGTGATCTGGCCCCCACTTTAAAAAGTTTGAGGACGCCTGCTCTAGATGAAGGAGTTTGGCCCTCACTGGGCTCATTGAAGAGCCTTTTGTCTCCCCTCATTCTCAATTTCGCTTCTTGGTTTTTCTCCCTCTGAATGAAGTTTTATACTCTTTTAAAAAACATTTAAAAGTATTTCTGGATCTCTCTTGGCCCTCCCTGACCTTGCCAGTAGGCAGAAAGGGAAGGGAGACGGTGCCAAAGGGCCAGGCCTGCTGCCGGCCGTTCCGGGGTAGCCTGGTCACTGCAGCTAGGGTTCCTCTGCCCGGCTAGTCCCTATGGCATTACCTTCGGGGTGCCCCCTGCTGCCGTGTTCTTCAAAGATGACACCTGTCACCTTAGCATTGGTTTTGGTACCGTGCTACCACTGGTTTTGCCTTTTTGATAAATAGGCAGTGGGTTTTTTGTTTAGTTTATATTTTTATTGATTTCAGAGAGGAAGGGAAAGGGAGAGAGGGAGAGAAACATCAATGATGAGAATCATTGATTGGCTGCCTCCTGCACGCCCTGAGAATCAAACCTTGACCTCCTGGTTCATAGGTCGACGCTCAGTCACTGAGCCACACTAGCCTGGCGACCTTGGGTTTCTCTTAACCAGTCAACTGCCACAATATTTTGAATTTCATTTAAAAGGCCCGCCGCTTGCCTCTGTAGGCTTACAGCGCACAAATGGTTGAAGAGTTTTACTGTCACCTCTGAAGGCTAGCCCTTTCCCGGGAAGTTGCTGTTTTCTTTCCACCTTTTAGTAGTCGGGAGGTGACTCAGGGCAGTCACTGTGTGACATGATGACTCGTCCTGGATCCAGCCTGCCCTCCATTGCCTGACTGGCCCCTTGTCACAAAAGCAGAGGATGCTGGCAGCGCCCTCTGCTGGTGGGGTGCATGCAGCATGGGGCCTGACACTGAACCATCCCCCTGACACTATTCCCTGGAGCCAGGAAATGGATGGAGAAATGAGCCTCTCGGTCAGTCCCCACGGCTGGATCAGCCTGACAGTGGATTTGGCAGGGGCTGGCATTTCGTCACAGCACCAGAGGCCTGGGGACGCGGTCACGTTTCTGGCCTCGAGAGTCCCAAACTGAAAATATCCAGCAAACAATGGTGCCCCATCCGCTCACAGGGCGAGGGTGGGGCTCTGGAGGAGGCAGCTATTTCTTCCTCCTCCCACACACCCGCTAGCAATGCTGGGTGCTTCCGTGTGGCTGGCGCTGGTGAGGCCTGGTGGCCAGTGCAGAGGGAGGTGCCCGGGTTCAGTGGGGACCAGTGCTGTGACGGGATGCCCAGGCGCTGGTGCACAGGGAGGGCTTCCCAGGAGGGCGTGCTTGACCTGAGGTTTGAACAGCAAGCGGGGCAGCAAGGGGTTCTCTGAGGAAATTAATACATGAGCAAATGCCAGAGGTCATGACCTGGCCCACACAAGGGGATCCCTGGGAAAGGAGCAAACTAATGGGGAGAGGTTGGTTGGTGGGCAGAGGTGCCAGCTGGGCCCGATAGGCTTACAGGGAGGGCAGAGTCGATGCAGAATGCGTTTCCAGGCTGCAGACAGCTGATGGGGAGGAAAGGGCCCTCTGGCAGTGAGGAGGGCAAGGGAGACCCCAGGTCCACTGCCAGCTTTCCTGGGTTACCAATCCCCCTCTCCCCCCAGTGGGGAGCAGGAAGTGAGCACCCAGCTTCTGGCCACTTGTCCTGGTGGGCTCGCTCAGTAGTGGTTTCCATGGTCACGGTCACATGTGGAGGTGGAACGTCAGGGTCCACGTGGCCACCGAGTAGGCCCGCGCCAGCTCGGGGAGTGTACTAGAGGCCCCTGCAGCTGTGCCATGAGAAAGTGGACCCTGGGGGGGGCCAGGGACCTTTTGGGGTGCTCTTCCCCTGCTCGTTGCTGCAGGCGTCAGGTTTGCATTCTTCTCGTTGCAGCTGCCTACCGCAATCTGGGTCAGAATTTGTGGGGGCCCCACAGGTACGGGTGCCTGGCGGGGGTCCGGGTGCGGACGGTGGTGTCGGGGTCGTGCGCTGCCCACAGCCTCCTCATCACCACAGAAGGGAAGCTGTGGAGCTGGGGTAAGTAGCCCGGGCTGATGGGGTGACTCATGCAGCCAGTCCCCGGGGCCGCTTCCTCCTGCGCCGCCTCAGGCACAGCTCCTTCCGCTGGCTGGCAGCCCCCGTTTCCCCTTCCTGATTCCCACTGTCCGCCCCTGTGATGCATCACCTCCCTCCACTCTCCGCTTTTCTTCTTTTTAAGTCTTTACACAGCCCCCTGATTCTTTGAATCCTCCTTTTTAGGCAACCTTTTCCTGAACATTCTAATTGACTGGGACTTTCTGATACCAAGGTGCCCAGAACTGAATATTTCGGGCCTGCGGTCCCCCCAGCACACGGTTCCCCCAGCACCGGTCCCCTTTCTCGCTTTGCAGCGGTGACGAAAGACCTCTGTTCTCACCCTTTAAATGCCACCAGCTTTCCTAGCGGCCACACGGAGACATCAGCCCTGCGTCTTCTCTGCAGCCCTGTTCCTCTTCCCGGGGTCACGCGGGCCCGCGCGGGGGGCGGGGGGGGGCATCTCACTGCGTATCGCATCCATGTCTCTGTGTTTCCCCAGAGACTCTCCCTTTGCCAAGTTGATTGGCTTCCCCTGCTGCTGGGTTTCCTTGCCTGGGTGTTAGGGGGATTGGGGTGGGGGGGATTCCCACTTCTCGGCTCTGCTTCATTTCGGTGTCCCCTGCAGGGGGCTGCGTGCCTGCAGCCATCTCCCCTCCAAGCCATGACCCAGGTATTGCTGAGGCTCAGCTTGCCCCCACGCCCCTCTAGCTGGGCCTCCGCCTCTGCCCGGGCACTGCCGCGGCCCCCTGCCCTTCGCTTGCAGCCCTCCGGCCAGCTTCTAGTCCATGTGACTGCATCTTTATTTGGGCCTGTTTGAACCATTTTTTGCAATTCCATGAGCTGCTGAACCAAAGTTCAAGTATATTAACATCTGTTCTCCCTGCACCCTGCTAATTTTGTCACTCGGTGGAAAAAAGCTAACAAGTTGTCTGGCCCAAATTTATCCTCTCCGTCTCCTGACGCCATGCTGACATCGCCTTGATTGTCGCTTTCTCCCGCTTGGCACGGAGGTGTGTCCCGCCCCCTCGTGTTCCAGCCCCGAGCACAGCAGTCTGTCAGACCCACTGTACATCTCATTCCCGATCTCCCCTGGTTCTCACTTCCGTGGCGCTTCTAAAAACGTCCCCTCCGCCACCCCGCGGGGAGGGGGTGACTATAGACTGTCCGTCTGACCTGCCCTGGGGCGGAGATGTGTCCCATGAGGATGGGCTGGGATGTCACGAGCAAACCCCACCAGCCCTTGTTCAGTGTTACACAGTGAACTTGGGTGGCCCCAGGGGAAGCTGGTGTCGGCCTCCTGCCCTCATCCCCTGCACTACACGATGTAGCTGAAATCAGGTTCATGTGCAGACATGGTTTCATTGGGTAACTCCTCCTCAAGCCCTCTCCAGGGTGGGTGCTGTCCTGTGGCCCTGCTTTCACTTCCCATGACCCAAAAGTCAAGTTCATTGTTCCGAGGGGTATGAATCACCTTCCCCGAAGTGCCCTGACCCTTTGGCCCTGTAAAACCTCTCCAGATCTCCCAAATTGTTGAGTATCAGGTGTGGTTTTTCTCCAGGGACCTGCTGTTGGCCTGCTGGGTGGCTTGTTTTGCAGCCTGTGTTGGAAATGGGGAGGTTTAGGGGTGTCCGGGCTCCTCGTGGCCCACACAGCTCTCCACGCCTGCTTTGGAGTGGAAGGGCTGCCAGAGGCCTGGGCATTGCAGGGATGAGGCACTGGGTTCCCCTCCTGGCCTGACCCCATAGCCATGACCCCTTAGCCAGCGCAGCTCCGGAGGCAGGGCTTCCATCGCTGGGGTTCCCTGTGAAGGGTGGTCGGGGGGGGGGGGGGGGGGGGGGCGGTGTGAGCTGGCATTGTTCCGGCAGCTTCATTTATGGGCAGATAAAAGGAAGAGAAGTGACAGGCAGAGACCAGATGGGCCGCGGTAGCTGCCCAGAGCACTGAGGTAATTAAGCTCGCGTGTGGCAGGTGTCGGAATGGTCACCGACTTAAAATCCATCGTGTAGACGGTGTGAGGGACCCGTCTGGCAGGGACCGTGAGAGCGAGGCTCCATGAGCTCTTTCACTGGTGTGACATCAGGCCACAGGGATGCTCAGGGCGGGCCAAGCTGCAGCCCCAGAAAGGGGGTCAGAGCCATTGAAGGGGGCTCCTGTGGTTGCTGCAGAGACATCCCCAGGGACCGGTGCCCCCAGGCAGGCCTCGGAAGTCGGCCCTTGGTTGTCAGACTGGAGTGGGAGCATGTTTGGGAGCCAGATTTGCCCCGGTAGCTGCTCTGCTGCCCTCTCCTACCTCTCCATCCTGCTCTCCATCTGCAGGCCGGAACGAGAAGGGGCAGCTGGGACATGGCGACACCAAGAGGGTGGAAGCCCCCAGGCTCATCGAGGCGCTCAGCCACGAAGCCATCGTGTCGGCGGCCTGCGGGCGGAACCACACCCTGGCCTTGACCGGTAAGCGGGGTTGGTTCTGTGGCAAGAGGCCAAGTGGTCCTCTCTGGGCGCTGGCGTAGCGTTGCCATGGCAACCTTGGTCACCATCAGAAAGAGGCCCCACGGAGCCTGGTGGGTGCTTCCCCTGTGGGGAAGGCGTGGAGAGCCTCAGGCACGGGCCGGGCGCTGCCAGGAGGCGAGGCTGTGACAAATGGCTTGTGCCTGAGCCATCCGCTCTGCCACCTTTGGAATAAGACTGCGTTCTTCCCGGCCAAGGAGCTGCTTTGGGAAGAATGGGAGCCTTTGGTTCCACATCCAGTTCCGAACCCGCAGCGTGATTTTCCCTCCTGGGTGTCGTTCTTCCAGAGACGGGCTCCGTGTTCGCATTTGGAGAGAACAAGATGGGGCAGCTGGGCCTGGGCAACCAGACGGACGCGGTCCCGAGCCCCGCACAGGTATGCGCCCCTCGCCCTCCTGTGCGCACTGAGGAGAGAATGTGGGTTTCTCTTGGTCCCTGGGACAGTCTGGGCGCTCCGAGTGGATCACACGCCGTCGTCTTTAAACGGGTGTGATGTACATCCACAGTTAAAAATGTCCTGAAAGCAGTTCCTTGCGGAATGAAGCAGTTTGTTAGAGGCCTCGTTTTAAGCTCATTCTGTCCCAAAGAAAGGAAAAACTCTTCCATGTGTGATGCGTTTATCTGCCAGTAGTCACCGACCAGATGCTTAGAACACTAACAGGAGTTCATTAGGGGAGGGATTGATACCTAAAACTGAACTTAGTACAAGGCAGCAGGGTGCTGATGGTGTCTGATGTTTAAGGTTAAGGATGGGCTCAGATCTCTCACTCTTGGCTTGTGGTTTGAAGGATTTCTGAAGGGACCCCGTGTTGTCAGCCATGTGCCCTGCAGCAGGTGTGAGGGTTTCTACTGAAGCAGGGGGGCGGGCAGGGCCCCCATCCCGACTCCATCGCTGACCCTCCTCGGGCTCTCCCAGGCCCAGCAGGGCGCCGGAAACAGCCCGTTCCCTAAGTACTTCCTTAGATTTGTTTCCAACCCCATGGTCAGTTCCTCAGGGCCTCCGCTGTCTTCTCACTTCTGATTCTGAACCAGTGCTTCCTGTTCACACCTGCAGTTCAGACCATTGGTCAGGTATTTCTGGAGAGTAGAGGAGAGCGTCTGATAGTTCATCTTACTGGTTGGCAATAACACAAAAGCTTTTCTTTGAGAAGTTGGGGTTGTCCTATTCAGAGTGTCCCTGGGAGAGCTGAGGGTTCAGTGTTGGTGAGTTCCCGCTTGCTTTTGCCCCCGTGCCCGCGCTGGTCAGTGGATTTCCCCGGTCACTGGGCACAAGGATGTGGGAGCCACAGTGCTGGTTGTTTTGAGGGTTAAAGACCTGGGACACACCTGACCTGTCTTTGAACTTGACTCTGGTGGAAGGTGGGGGTCACGAGAGTGTTTCTTTACGTATATATATTCTAAGCTTTTGCCTTCAGAATTGTTGAGCTCATTAAATCTCTTGTAACTGTCCCTGACCGCTTTGGCTTAGTGGATAGAGCATCAGCCTGCAGACTCAAGGGTCCCTGGTTTGATTCCGGTCAAGGGCATGTGCCTTGGTTGCAGGCACATCCCCAGTAGGGGGTGTGCAGGGTGTGATAGATGTTTCTCTCTCATCGATGTTTCTAACTCTCCCTCTAAAAAAATCAATAATACATATTTAAAAAAATAAATAAATCTCTTGTAACTGTTTCAGCACCAAACAGAGATAGAAACTTTTTAATCAATCTTTAAAAATAAAATGTCTGACAGTCTGCTGTCTTTTCTTTTCAGATAATGTACAATGGCCAGCCAATTACTAAAATGGCCTGTGGGGCCGAATTCAGCATGATAATGGATTGCAAGGGAAACCTCTATTCCTTTGGGTGCCCTGAATACGGTCAGCTGGGTATGGAAGTGTTATTTTTTGAAAGCTCTCTAATCTTACTGTGTCTTTAGAGCCGAAGTCTGCGGGGCTGCACACATGCTAGAAATGTGCATAATTGATCGCAGATAATAGCCTTGATCCACTAAGTGGGTCTCATGTTTAGTGGGTGGGGCTTGCGTGACTCACAGGGGTGCTGAGTGTTAGAGTGACTTGCCTTAAAGAAAAAGCCAGGGCTCTGATCTGACAAAAGATTCTTTTTTCTGACTTGGGAGTTCATTTATATACAGAAGGATTTCACAGTAGAAAAGGGGATCAAAGGACCTCTGATGGGTTTCATATTTTTAGAGATTTGCTTTTATTGGAAACGAGGGCCTTGCTGAGGTTAAGGTTGTTCTGGAAACCCTGGCCTGAGCGATCATTCCTGTACATACCTGGGAACCACATGCTAAAAAAAGCCAGAGTAGAAGCAGCTGCATCCCTTCCCGTTCTCATCCCTAAACAGAATGTACTCTCCAAAAACGTATCTACTTCAAGTTCATTGAGTCTAGAAGAAAAACTCGGACAGCAGCTCTCAGCAGTTCTCAATAAGCAGCAAATGTCTCTGCGCGTGATTTTACCAGGTCTCCATTTTCTTTTCCCATCTGACACCAAAGTGTTTTTCCCTTCCTGGCGCCTTCCCACCACCCCAGCCCCTTCCGAGTGGGAGGTGAGGCGTGGGCGCCCTCTGCTGGCGCCGTGTTGCATGCCACTCCAGATCCTCGCCCCCGGATCTGAGTTGCTGGGCTCCACGTCATGAAAAGCAGGCAGATGGGAGGTTGTATAAATAGAAGGAGGAGCATCACGCTGGCCTTAGACTTCAGGGAACAGTGACTTTGTGAAACTAAATATAACTCCAGTCAGAAAGGAATAAGAAAGAACAGCCCCTTATGCACCTTCGGGGCTGGTTGCCGGGGAGTTGCCAGAGGCTGCTGGAGGGACCGTTTCCATAGCCACAGGCCCTCCGGCTGTCCCCAGTCCCGAGCAAAACACCAGAAGCGCGTTCCTGTCTGCTTCCGGGAACGTGTGGCTCCCCTGCCGCCCATGGCTGCCCCGGGTTGCAGACAGGCGGCCTGTCAGCGATGGGATTTTCCTTCAGGGAGAAGCACGTGATGCTGGTGATGAAAGTGGCTGACTTTCAGGGACTGTGTGCCAGTCCTTTTAAGCATGTCATACAGAGTCTCACCTGCGTAGTTTATGCTCATTTGAAGGGATTGAGAGATTGACTCGATTTATAGCTGTAGAGTCAGTCATTCTTTACTTGCCAGCTTTGCAAACCTGTTTTCAGTCTCATTGTCTAAATCCAGAGAGATCGCTCTTGGAATTGGGACGTAAGTGTGACCTTGGAGAGACAGATCACCAGCACACACTTCTCAGAACACATTTACTGGGTCAGGCAAGGCAACGGCGAGAACGTGCCAGCTTACTGTTTTACCAGCCACAGTGATGCATCCAGGTTATAATAATGCATAAGGATGCAAGTCTGGGGCTGTGTGTTGAACGTTTCTGTCCATCCTTGGCCTTGTCCAGGGGGTCCTTGAGGCCCCCAAGTGGGACACAGCCCATTCCTCTGGACCTGTACCTTCCACCTTCGTCACTTGCAGCCACAGTATGAAGTACATTCACATTGCAGCCGAATCTGAATGTAGAAATGCACATACACAGAATAATGTCCTGCTTGGTATTTATTCATTGAAAAAATCGAGTAACTGATTTCAAACCACAAAATTGGTTTCATGCCACTCGCCAGCTGTGCCTCAGATTGGAGATTGCTGCTTTAGTTGGCCAAGGTGTCCCGCTAGTTCCAGCCAGCCAGGTGGGGGCGGTGCCCTGGGCCACGGCTGCCGCTGACCCCTGGCTCCGCTCGCTGCAGGACACAACTCGGACGGGAAGTTCATCGCCCGCGCGCAGCGGATAGAGTATGACTGCGAGCTGGTGCCCCGGCGAGTGGCCATCTTCATCGAGAAGACGAAAGACGGGCAGATCCTGCCCGTCCCCAACGTGGTCGTACGAGATGTGGCGTGTGGCGCCAACCACACGGTGAGTCCTGAGCTCCTGAGCGTCCCCTCCCCTCCGTGGAGCGGGTGCGCGTGCCCGGTGCCCGGCACCTGGCTCTGCAGCTTCCTTCCTGCTTCCGTAGGCGAGGCTGAGCAGCTATTGGGGTGGGATCATACCGTGTTTTCCTGCTTTGCTTCTGTCTAACACAATGGTCGGCAAACATGCGGCTCTTTGGCCCCTGAGTGTGGCTCTTCCACAAAATACCACGGCCTGGGCGAGTCTATTTTGAAGAAGTGGTGCTAAAATTTTAAGTTTAAAAAATTTGGCTCTCAAAAGAAATTTCAATCGTTGTACTGTTGATATTTGGCTCTGCTGACTAATGAGTTTGCTGACCATTGGTCTAACAATACCATGGGCGTCTTTCCAGGGGGGTACTAGATGGCATCCTATTAAAGAGATGTTGAATACTTTTGTGTGTTTTTTAAAAATATATTTCTTATTTCAGAGAGAGAGAAACATCGATGAGAATCATTGATCAGCTGCTTCCTGGACCCCATACTGGGGCTCGAGCCCACAGCCCTGGCATGTGCCCTGGCCGGGAATCAAACCTTTGGGCCACACTGGTCAGGCTATTGGGTAGTTTTTGTTTGTTTGTTTGTTTGTTTGTTTTGTTTTGTTTTTAAACATTTTAAAAAAATATATTTTATTGATTTTATACAGAGAGGAAGGGAGAGAGACAGAGAGTTAGAAACACCGATGAGAGAGAGTCATCAATCAGCTGCCTCCTGCACACCCCCCACCGGGGATATGCCTGCAACCAAGGTACATGCCCTTGACCGGAATCGAACCCGGGACCCTTCAGTCCCCAGCCCCAAGCCGACGCTCTATCCATTGAGCCAAACCGGTCTCGGCTGTTTTTAAACATTTTTTATTGATTTTTCACAGAGAGCAAGGGAGAGGGATAGAGAGTTAGGAACATCGATGAGAGAGAAACATCGATCAGCTGCCTCCTGCACACCCCCCACTGGGGATGTGTCTGCAACCAAGGTACATGCCCTTGACCGGAATCGAACCCGGGACCCCTCAGTCCGCAGGCTGACGCTCTGTCCACTGAGCCAAGCGGTTTTGGCTATTGGGTAGTTTCTATACAGCTTTTAATTACCCGTGTGGTTCCCTTGAGGCAGTGGTTGGAAAACCGAGACTCTTTGGCCCCTTGAGTGTGGCTCTTCCACAAAACACCACTGCCTGGGCGAGTCTATGTTGAAGAAGTGGCGTTAGAAGAAGTTTAAGTTTAAAAAATTTGGCTCTCAGAAGCAATTTCAGTCATTGTCCTGTTGACAGTTGGCTCTGTTGATAATGAGCTTGCCGACCACGGCCCTAAGGTCACTGTAGGTAAACGCAGTCCGCTTTGCAAATACCTCCTCGTCTTAGCTGCCTCCTTGCAGACGTTTTGCTGCGAATGCCTGTAAGTTGCACAAGGTTTTTTCTCTGTTGAGAGAGCCAGGGGTAGCCCTAGCTGGTTTGGCTCAGTGGATAGAGCATTGGCCTGGGAACTGAAGGGTTCTTGGTTTGATTCCAGTCAAGGCACATACCCGGGTTGTAGACTCGATATCCAGTAGAGGGGGGAGTGCAGGAGGCAGCCAGTCAATGATTCCCTTTCATCATTAATATTTTCCTCTCTCTCTGTTTTTCTCTGTTCCTCTCAAATCAACAAAAATGTACTTTTTTTAAAGAAGAAAAGAGCGAGGGGCTGGGAGTCCTGAGACGCAGCTGGGCTGGTGGCGGCTGGTTGGTGGTGGCCTTGGGCTCAGCTGCTTGCTCACCTGGAGTCTGCCCTGTCCGGTGCTCCGTGACTAGATTAGGAAACTGCAATCTATTGAGGTCTGAAATCAGTCTAACCAGGGGATGTAAACCCAGATCTTGTTTAGGTCTCCTTCCTTAGATTGTTATACTAGGCCGTACTTCACATGATCCAAACTGTAAACATCAGAGATACTGGAAGAAAAGATGTGGGTCACCTGGGTGCCCAGGTGGGGAGTCAGGCCCCTCAGTTCCCTCTGAGGTCCAGTTCCTATTGTCAGGAAGTGGATGCGTCGGCTCTGGAGATGAACCCTCTTCTCACCAGGGAAGGGGAAGAACTGTCCAGCCAGCCTGGTTCGGTGGCTGGACGTCAGCCTGTGAACCAGGAGGTCACGGTTTGATTTCCTAGTCGAGGCGCATACCCGGTTTGTGGGCTCCATCCCCAGTAAGGGGTGTTGCAGGATCAATGATTCTCTTACGTCATTGGTATCTCTCTCTCTCTTCCTCTTCCTTCCTCTATGAAATCAATAAATATATGTCTTTAAAACGCCAACCAAACAAAAATAATGAAGAATGGGAAACTGTCCCTGGCAGAGCAGCCAGCATAGCCCTGGCACTGCTGCTCCTGCCGCCTCCCCCGCCCTGGGAGGCGGGTGACGGGCCGGAGTCTCTGCAGTGGTGCGTTCCCTTTGCCGTCAGCCACTGCCCCAGTTTCTCCGGGACGGAAACGGGGACCTGTTACCCCGTTGGAGGCCTGTCCCCACCCTCGCTCTCTCCCCGCAGCTGGTCCTTGACTCCCAGAAGCGTGTCTTCTCCTGGGGCTTCGGCGGCTACGGCCGGCTGGGCCACGCCGAGCAGAAGGACGAGATGGTTCCCCGCCTGGTGAAGCTGTTCGACTTCCCCGGGCGCGGGGCGACCCAGATCTACGCCGGCTACACCTGCTCCTTCGCCGTCAGCGAAGTGGGTGAGTGTCCCCGTCCGGGCCTGGGGAGGAGGGTGCCAAGCGTTCGGAGGCTTCCCTCCCTGGCAGAGCTCCGTGGGAGCCAGAGCTCCGGGCCTGTTCAAGGCCGGGCGTCCTGATCTCCTCGGCTTCTTCCTCGTACAACACTCCTTTGTGCTTGGCGCCGAGCCCCGTGCCTTTGTCCTTGATGTTGGTAAGAACTCAAGAGGGTCGTCTTTGCCTCTCCAGGTGGCCTGTTTTTCTGGGGGGCCACCAACACTTCGCGGGAGTCCACCATGTACCCGAAGACCGTGCAGGACCTCTGTGGCTGGAGGATCCGGAGCCTGGCTTGTGGGTACGTGGCCGTGTCTGGGGGTGAGCAGGACTGTCCCCCTCCCGGGGGTGTTGCACCCCGAGATGCCTCTTCCCTGGAGGGTCTGCTGTCCGTCAGGGATTGATGGAGGGGAGGGGCCGTGCTTGTCCAAGGAGGGGACTTGTTTCGCTGTCATTTGGAGGCTTGGTGTGCGCCGCTCATATTACAGACTCAAAGGCATATTTAGTTGGGAATGGTGGGTTTCCGTTGCTCTGATACTCTGGCTAGAAAAATTTTAGGCCCGTGATTTTCACCTTATTTGGAGCCCATTGAGCTGGTGGGGAGTTGGTTAAACAGCAGACAGCCGTTGGGAGAGAGCTCCCACTGCATCCTGACTCGGTCTCCTTTCCCAGTGTGTTCACTTAGAAGTGCCTACCCACGCCCGCCCCTGAGAGCCCAGACCGGGGCGGGGGAGGCGGGAGGTCGGGCCTGTGAGGCTCTGCAGAGGGTTTCTCCGCTGCCGGCGGCCCCAAGCTCACGGGCTCGCCCTTCCAGTGCCCAGTTCCTAGGACGTGAGGCCTGGGGGAGTTTCAGGGGGACACACTGATTTTAAAGCGAGTAGGTGGCCCCCGTCTTGAGCAGGACGCACCCCATAGCTAGGTCGGGCGCAGCTCATCTGTCGGTGGTGACTGCCTCTGCCTGTTGCAGGAAGAGCAGCATCATCGTGGCCGCAGACGAGAGCACCATAAGCTGGGGCCCGTCACCGACCTTCGGGGAACTGGTAAGCTGGCCCTTCGGGCGGGAGGTGGGGCCCAGTCCGGCTCGCTGACACCTGTGCCTCAAACACGTGGAACGGAGAAATGTCACCTCGCTGCATCAAGGCTGTAACAGTCTCTGGTCTTAGTGCGTCAGTCTGCAGAAACGGTCTGTGCCATCGGGTACAGCTGACCCTGGACAACACAGATGTTTTCAGTCCACTGCAGGGCAGGTGACGCGCACAGCGCAAACCTTGTCCCAGGGTCACCCCCACAGCTGGGAATCTGTGTGTGCAGAGAGCTGACTGTAGTTACACGTGGATTTCCAACTTCGGGGTGCGTTAGTCCCTAGACCCTGCTCCCGAGCTGTTCGAGGGTCAGCCGTACTGTGAAAGCCCTTCCTGTCCACGTCAGCTCAGGCCCGTCACGGATGGGGAAGCACCAGCTGTGCACCCATGTTCAGTGGGCGGCTTCTGAGGGGCCCATGTGGAGCCTTGAACTAAGAACCTGGCCCAGTTTTGAGGGCCTGTTCTTAGAGAGGGGGCCTCAGAAACAGACTCTGAATGTCCTTTTAAAACTAGAGGAGCCCAGCCACCGTGCTCAGTGACTGAGCCTCGACCTATGAACCAGGAGGTCACAGTTCGATTCCGGTCAGGGCCCAGGCCCGGGTGGCAGGCTCGATCCCCAGTAGATCACCCATCCCGGCCTCTGCACATGGCTCCCCCCGCCCGCTCCCCCACCCCCGGCCCCCACCCCAGCAGTCCTTGACCAGTCCCGTTGGTCCCTGGTAGGGACCGAGGTGTCATTCCTAAAAATACCGCTGTTTAGTCTTGGCCCGCAGGGTGGGCAGGTAGGTGGCCGGCGGTCCCTGGAGGGCTGCAGTGCCGTTTCTCCGGGGCCCATGCTGGTCTTGTCTCACCTCCAGAGGTTACCGTTTAGGGTCCATCTTGAAGCACCAGTCCGTGTAGGCGGCAGCTTTGTGGGTACATTCTGCTGCCTCGGCCTGGCCCCGCCCGAGCAGCGGGGTTCGGTCGCAGAGCCCGCCAGCTCTGGCCCTGCTGGTGGGCTGCCTTCGTTCCCGTTTTGGGCCTTGCCACAGTGCCACGGCCTGTGACGTCTCTGCTTCCTCACCAGGGCTACGGGGACCACAAGCCCAAGTCTTCCACCGCCGCGCAGGAGGTGAAGACGCTGGACGGCATTTTCACGGAGCAGGTGAGCCGCCCGCCGCCTGTGGGAGCAGGAGGTGCTGGGAGCAGAGGGATGTGCCAGCTCACATCTCCCCATTCCCCTTCGTGGTCTCTGACAGCCATCCGCAGACACAGGCCCGGCAGCCAGGCTCCGGGGCTGTTCTGAGTGACACTCACCGCCACCAGCCGCAAGTGGCTTTGCTCCTGGGGGAGTCGATCTCATAGCTGCCGTGGCTGCCCCCAGACTGCACCCCCTTGGGATGGGGCTGGCGGTGGGATGAGGCCCCTTCTCTCTGTTAGGTCCACCAGCTGCCGGCTCTGTTTGCCGAGCACAGATGGTGGGTGCGCCTCACACAGACAGGGCTGTGGTCCAGAGAGGCGGGCAGAACCGGGAGCGTGATCCGAGTGTCCCCGCCAGTTCCTGCTCAGCGGGTCTCCCTCTTATCCCGGGCAGCCTGGTTGGCAGGGTGGCGGTGACGGGCCACGCTGAGACAGTGACCTTGAGAAAAGGGTTTTAAAGCACTTTTAGGCACCTGCATCTCTAACTTCACTTTCCTTCATTGGTCGGTAATCCCACCTTTACCCTTCCAGCCGGCTAGTGTCCTGTTGTCCGTGTGTCTGTCTGCTCCAGACTCAGTGGCACGCCTGTGTGCCAAAGTGCCCTGGCACACCCAACACCGATTTGTCCCCCCAGGTTGCCATGGGCTACTCGCACTCCCTGGTGATCGCGAGAGACGAGAGTGAGACTGAGAAAGAGAAGATCAAGAAGCTGCCAGAGTATAACCCGCGCACCCTCTGACTGCCCGGGGCCTCCGCCCCCTCTCGCGGCAGCTGTCATTTCCACGTGCACCGGGACGGAAGTCCGACGAGGAATTTAAACAAGTCGACCAGAGGTGCATTTTTGTTAGACTCCCTGAGGTTCCGTTTAGAAGTGATTCAACATCAACTACCTTTTCTGTATGCTTTCCAAAGTGTTTTTTTTCCTCCATGTTTGATTAAAATATTTGCTCATAGTTGACTTACCATTCCTACAAGAGGCAGAAACTTTGAGCAACCAGGATTTTTTTTAAGTTTTTCTCTACCCCACCCCCTCAATACTCTTCTCAACGCTCTCTCCTTTCCATTGTAATTAGCATTGTGATCGGAGTGGGTGCCACCTGGGGAGGATCGCCATTTGCTCAGAAAACAGTGCCCCTCGCGGGCAGCATTGTTGGCAAAGGGGGTCCCTGGTGGTCCTCTCCATCCGAAACCAGGCCCGCGTGCTTAGGAAGCACCTGGGTCCCTTCCTTCCCGGGTCCCGTGTCCTCCCCGCAGCTGCTTGTAAGCCCTGCCTCTTGGCTGCGACATTAATAGAACCTGCCGTCTCCCCCCTGGTGGGGGCTCCGGGGCATGTTTAGCCATTTATATCTACTTTATCTGTACATGACGTCCAAGTGACAAATCAGGTGACCGTGGAACCAAGCGGCTCCGGGGCGTCCGCCGTGGGGACACTGTATCTGGTTCAAGAACCAGCGTTAAGGTTCCTCTGAGGGGCCAGGGCCGCCTCGCAGCGCTCGCCGTTAGAGATTGATCTGCCAGCCGAGAAAAGTGCATTCTGAGTCCTTGCAAAGGACCCGCCCTATGTACCAGCCTTTAGCGCCTTCGTGCTTGTTTTTATCACCCCCGCCCCCGCCCCCACCCCCGCCGCTGGTTCAGCTGCCACAGCCCCGGCTGTGTCTGAGACTCGGGTTCCAGTTCTGCTAACCCAGTCCTGGTCACGTTGGCCGGGCTGGGGTACCAAATAGATGGGATCGTGCAGAAGTCCCGTCCCCGCGTGTCAGCGCAGACACAGACTGCCAGCTGCCTCCCGCCAGGCGCCCTGTGCCAGCTCGTCCTGCGGTGGCCGCTCTGCGTGAGCGACGAGGTGCCTTTCCCGGATCCCTCCTCTCCCTGGGACCCATGAGAGGCGACCGCGCTGCCTGGGGCTCTTGGCCTCGAGAGGGTCTGGACTGGTTTGGGTGCTTTAAATAGACTTTTTAGTTCAGTGGTGCTTCTGGGGGAGAGGGGGATAGAATTCAGCGTGAGACTCGGGTGGATGGGAAAGTTAAATATGGTCTTTGATTTTGTTTTGCTATTGTTACCACTTGTCATTGTCTTGATGTTAAAATGCCAAAAATGATCCTGTTGTTGCTTTTCCCCTGCTTGTCCTCCACTCCTCGCGGTGGCGTCTGCCCTCCCTGGGCCTGGGTCTGTCCTGCCCGGCATGAGGAGCCGGCCTACAGCCAAGACTCGGTCTCACTTCCTGCTCATCCCCGCTGTCCTGGGCTCAGCCAGTCCTGGGGAGAAGCTTCTGCTAAACTAACCCAATTTGTCCAAATCACCCCCGAAACCACCATCTTTAACTTGAGCTTCCTCACGTAGAACCCATTTCCCTGACAAGTCTCTCTCGGAGCAGGTTCGATGCCCGTGTTCCTCAGACGCGCACAGCTCCCCTCAGGCCTGTAGGCACTGAGTGCGGGAGCAGAGCCTGGTCCGGGCTGCAGGAGCCGCCCTCGGCCACGCAGGGCTTCCACCAACCCCCGGACTGAGCTGAGGCCGCCCAGCCCATGCTAGTGCCCTTGCAGGGACGGCAGGAAAGGGGCTACCTTCCCAGTGGAGGCTGCCCGCTGCTCTCCCACAATCACTCCTTTGGCTGAGTTTAAGGTGAACTCCCTAACGGGGTCCCCTGAAGAGCAGGAGGAGGGCGGTCCCTGCTCCAGGAGGAAGGGATGTGGCTTGGCGAGTGCTTGGCGCTGACCCTGGGCGTTGCCATGTCTTCCAGCGCAGGAAGGAGACCTCGGAAGAGGCTTAGAGAGAAGGGGAGCCTGGGAGGGTGATTTGGTCGAAGGTGCCTGGTTTAGTGCTGTAATTGTCTTATTTTTTTTATATATATTTCTTGGAGTAAACATTTTAAATAAACGACATCATTGTTTACTCTGTTTTGGTTGCACTTATTTTTCAGTAGAACGAAGGTAAGAGCTTGATCATCTCCATTTCACACACACACACACACACACACACACACACACACCCCACACACGCGCCTCCCGTCAGCTGCCCAAACCCAGGGTCCTGGGAAGGGGCAAGTCCAGGGCAGCGGGCCCTCTCAGCTTCTGGGCTTGACCACAGCGGTGAGGTGTGTGACGCTCCCAACTCTGTCCCTTGGGGAGGGAGGCTCAGCACCTCACTTGCCCAAACTCAGAAGTGGAGTTTGTGTGTCTATTGCGTTGGGGCTGTGAAGATGACAGGCACGGAAAGTACCAGAACATTGGTATGTTTTGTGTGCCCGAACACCTAGTCACTTCTCACCCTTCCCACCAACGTAGGAAGGTCACAAATGCGCCCCTTAGCCCAGCATTGGCCCCTTGCTTGCAGTGTGGCAAGCTGCCCACCAGGGGGCACCAGGAGGCCAGGAGTGTGCAGAGACCCCATGTAGTTCTGTTTTGCCCAGGCTGCTCTTCCAGGCCTGAGGAGCTGAGCCACCTCGCATCATCCACCAGACCCCTGCAACCACCTCTCTCAACACCGCTCACCCGTGCATGGAGCCTTCGGTCCTGGCTGTCCCATGATCAGACTCACCCTTCCCAGGAGGTGTTGCCCCCATTCCAAGGGCCTAGACTTCTTGAAGCTTCCCATCAGCCAGGGGAGGAGCAGGGTGGGGCCAGCCATGGCTATACGTTCTCAGAACCACTTGCTTTAACAGCCATCTGTGCCATTACCACAGACAGCAGATGGGACTAGGCAGCTCCGTGTCCCAGAGTGGACACTTCTCCTGGACACGGGCGCAGTGGGAGTTGGCCAGGGCTGCCCTTGCTGTACCTTGTCCCTCAGGCCACCCCAAGGAGACCAGAGCCACTTTGTGGCGAAGCTGCTGCTCCTGAGGCTGGCATCGCCCTCCTGGGCTGGGCCTCCCCCAAACCTGGCTGGTCCCATGCTTTCACTAGAGAATTCAAACCATCTGATTCCTACCACTTCCCACTACAGTTGGGTCCACACAGCCATGTGCCAGCCCAGGCAAGTGGGGCGGCCTGACCCCAGGAGTCCCCGCTGCTCAGCTCCATCCTGAGCTGTTGCCCCTTCCCCAGACAAGGTGGCCAAGGCCGGGATGCATTCAGAACGAGAGCTTTAATGTGTAGCTCGTCAGTACTCGGCTGAAGACCGTTACCATCTCTACCCAAAGGGGAGCAGCTATGGCAGCCTTTGCCACCCCACTGGATTCTGAGGGGTGGGGGAACACGATAAGGGGGCTTCTCAACTCCAGCCCCACCCCCAGCACAGAGGGGCAGCCCGGGCTGGCAGCACTAGGCTGGGTCTAAGGCACGATCTTCCACCATCTATAGGCAAAGGGCAGGCGGAGGACGTTGGCGCAGGCACGGAAGTCTCCGACCTCGGTCATGTAGCAGTCGAAGTCGTTGATGAAGGTGCATTTGAAGCCCAAGGGTTCTAGCAGCTGGCAGACCCTCTCCTCCAGGCAGCACATGCCCTTGATCTGGGGCCCAAACGGCTTGGGGATGCCCATGTTCTTGCCCATCACAATCAGCTGCAGCTGTCACACAGAGAGAGGGTGGGCAAGGCATGGGCGGGCTGGCGCCACCCAAGAAGGTGCCACTGGGTTCAATGCAAGAGACACCCGGCTGCCGCGGGCTGACAGACTAGCTGTACCCGCCCTGCTCCAGGCCTGCGTGCATGCAGACATGGCCAGTCAATGTTGGCAGGTCCAGCTCACTTCCGCCTGAGCCTCCAACGGCCCTGCCCCTTCGTGATTCTCAGCAGCAAAACCAAAACCCTGCGTGGCCCAAGTCTGGCTTTGCCAACATCCCTGGTTCCCCATCCCTCATCTGTTCTTCTGGCCTTCAGTCCTGTCCACTTCACCATCTTGCCTCCCTCTACTGGAACGTCCATTTGTTGCATCTCAGCTCTAGCATCTTTCCCTTAGAGCCGTGGTTGGCAAACTCATCAGTCAACAGAGCCAAATATCAACAGTACAACGATTGAAGTTTCTTTTGAGAGCCAAGTTTTTTAAACTTAAACTATATAGGTAGGTGTGTTGTTATTAACTTAATTAGGGTACTCCTAAGCTGGCCTTTGCTAAAAACTCAAGGGACCAAAGAGCTGCCGTTTGCCGACCACTGCCTTAAAGTAACTCCCCGGGCCCGCACCTACTCCCAAGGCCTATGATGGCCCCTGTGTCATGCCCAGGGGGCCACATGGCTCTTGTCACATTAACAGGTCGCCATGTGTCCCTGGGCCCTAGAGAGGCCTGCACGTGCTGAAGGAATCAGCCCAGACGTCTCAGAGGAAGCATGCCAAGTGCCCACGTGGCAGGTTGCCATGGTGTGAGAAAGGCCAGGTACAGGCCAGAGGTGGCCTAGGCTTAGCACCGCAGGGGACTCAGGCACACGCACACCCCCAACTCCAGCTCCTCGTCTCCATAGGAACAGTGATCCCGGGAGTCACAGGCTGTGTGGGCAGGAAGACGCTGTCCCGGGACCTTGATCCCCAACCCCCCGTCTCAGCCAGAGCTGCCCAGCCCCTTCCAGTCTGGTGATGGCACAGCATCCTGGTGAGGTGGCTGCATAGTGACTACCCTAAGGCTGGGGGTGAGCCCAGAGCCAAGCCCATGGTCACTGTTTAGCAAATCACCCAGCCAGCCTGTGCCCCCCTCACTGCTCCCATGGGGGGGCGGGTCCTCCCTCCACCTTCTCTCAGCACCGCGTATGTCGGGACCAGCCAGGTGGCTGAACAGCCCCTCACCCCGGGGGCAGGCAGCCCACCCCGAGCCTCACCAGGTTGGGGAAGTAGGGCCTGGCGTAGAGCTTCTCGGTCTGCTCCGCGGAGGGCACGTTGCTCAGCTGCCTCAAGCAGAAGAGCTGTGGGATGTCGATGATGTCCCTGTCCAGCAGGCCCAGCTCCCGCTTCAGGATGGCTCGGTTCAGGTTAATGCACTTCTGCGGGCGGGCGGGCGGGCGGGCAGGGAGTGAGCTCACCCAATGGGGGGAGTGGCCTGAGGTAGCTCCTACCTTTCCATCACTCGCTGCCGTGTGGGGGCTTCAATCTAGCCAGTCAGGCCCAAGGCAGTTACTAGCCCTGATTCTGTAGCATGTTCCCCCTCTTTGGTCCTCAGGCCTGGCCAGGGGTGGACCTGGGCAAGGGCAGGAAGCTGAGGGGCTTCAGGGAGGATGGGAGCAGTGGTCCCCTCCAGGAACACTCCCTGCTCAGACCTGGTGCTGCCCAACACCTGAGCATCTAGCTCCCTGGTCTGACACAGGGCTCGTGGCCTCTATACCCAGGACACTGCCAAGGGCTGTTCTGACCCCATACCCGGCTGGTACCCACCCTGCTGTGCCAGGAAGCCCTCCCTTCCTTTTTGGCAAAGGTCACCAGAACACCATGGCTCTGAACACGCCTTTGCCAGGAGCCATCAAGTCCCAGTGGGAAAACAGTTTTGTGCTGACCATGTGACCCCGGACAACTCTGCCCTTCTTCCAGAAGCTAGGTAATCTCTCCTGGGGACCCCTTCCCCCCACCCTATGCTTCTCACAGCCCACGGTCCTCATTTTCAGAGATCCGAGGTGCTGGGCGATTCTGAACAGCGAGCGTATGGGCCTGAGCATTGAGAAGGTCCTGGTCCGTCTCTTAAGTCTCTGGTACTCCGCCTCTTAGGGAAGTCGGGGCAGCGGGGCCTCTGCCCAGAGGCTGCTGAGCTACAGCACTGATTTTTGGTCAGACACGGGGTAACAGTGGATGAAGTATGAACTTGGGTTCAAACCCAGTACCCAACCCATCGGCCTAGGCCCATGACCTTAAGCTGGGCCTGTCATAAACAAGATGGGTTTGACTTCACAGGGCCATTTTGAGGATCACAGAAACCTGTCTTGCATGATGCTCGGGCTATAGTAGTTGCTCAGTTAGGAGCCGTCTAGATCGCCAGTGCCCCCCCCACTTTCTGGAGGAGGTCCCTCCCTCACATCCTCTGCTCCCGGCTCCTACCTCCACGTAGTCGTTCTGCTTCCTCAGGATGTCATCGTCCAGAAGCTGGTTGATGGTAATGACCTCCCTCCCTGGAGGAAGGAGAAGGCGGGTGCGCCTGTAGGCCAGGGAGCAGGCAACGCTGTGCAGGGCTGGGGAGATTCCAGCCCTGGGCACGGCCGACAAGCCCTGGGCCAGTGACTAGTGTGGGTGGCCTGGCTAATCTGCGGGGATCCACTTGGGTCAAAGGTCACACCTGGATTCATGAAAACCCAGGCAGGACTTTTACTGCCACCAGCCACTCTGTCCCCGGTAGGACGGGGAGGCAGCCTGAAACAGGTGGGCAGGTGACTTCAGCACCACGCACCTCATACCTGGGCACCTCCGTGCCTTCTGTGACCTGTATAACTGGGCTACCTTCTTCCGGGGACCTGGGCCCTTGACCAAGTTATTCTGTTGCCTCATCGTCAGGAACTTCAGTTGGCTACCAGGTGTGTGCCATGCGGCTCAGGCTCTGCAAGTGTCACCTTCTAGGAGGGTGAGATTCTTGGGTCCATCCCCCGATTTGAGGAGGTGGAGAGCAGGGGCCGAAATTCTGCATTTCTAACAAGTACCCAGGGGGCCCTCAGACCTTACATGGCATCGCGAGGGTCTAGAGCAGTTGGCGAACTGCAGCTCTCGAGCCACACGTGGCTCTTTGGCCCCTTGAGTTTTTAGCAAAGGCCAGCTTAGGAGTAGCCTAATGAAGTTAATAACCATGCACCTACCTATATAGTGCAAGTTTAAAAAATTTGGCTCTTAAAAGAAATCTCCATCGTTGTCCTGTTGATATTGGGCTTTGCTGACTAATGAGTTTGCCGACCATTGGCCTAGAGCAGCGGCCGCCAACCTTTCGGGCCACGTGGGTTACTAGTGGGCCACGGACCACCGGTTGGCAACCGCTGGTCTAGAGAAGTCCCAGCACCCAGCCCATCCCGGACCCTCACACGTTTAGGACAGACCTGCCTCTGCCCAGCCACCCCATCCCTGCTGGTCTGCTTACGTCTTCCTTAGTGCTGGCCAGGAGACCCCTGAAGTCCCAGCGCCAGGTACTGAACCTAACATTCCCCGAAGAGTTCCAGAGACTACACAGTCAGCATCGGATCCGTCTCCCACCTCCACCCCACCCTGAGCCAGCCGCCTGCTGGCCAAGTCCCCTCCACACGCATCCCAGCAGCCTCAGCCACCCCAGAACCTCCGATCTGCCTGTGCCATCCCTGTACCACCCGCCAGAATAGCCCTGCCTGGAGGAGGATGCTCTATCACAGCCCACGCGATGCTTTCAAGCTTCCTGGGGACCTCTCTACCAGGAAAGACAGTGAAATGCCCGTGCAGAGAGGACGGACGTCTGGGGGAGAGGGGCCGGCCTCCGCCCCATGGCCAGCTTGTGACCTTACCGTTAGAAAGGAGCTGGTCCTCCCGCACCTCCTCAAACAGGGCCATGTCTCCATAGCCCTCCTTCTGCTTCTTCTGGAAGAGCTGGTAGCAGGCGTGGGGGCTGGCCAGCAGCAGCCGGAAGTCCTGAGAGACAGAACGAGGGCCAGATGCCAGCATCCCCTCCGGAAGCTTCCATGGGTCTCCAAAAGCAGGTGGGAGGCCCCCCCCGAATCCCTCCTCTCCGTGCAGCCCCCAGCACAGACCTTGTCGTTCTCACCCTTGGCCTTCGTGGGGATGAAGCACATGAACTCGTCCGCGTGGCCGACCATCAGCCAGTCTGTGTAGAGCTCCACCGGGGCCTGGACTTGCTGGGCGTAGAGGAAGCCCCGGAGGCGCTGTCTCATGTCCCGGCCGTCCTTGCTAAGGGAGGAGGAAGGCACAGCTCTGAGCCCGGGCAGCCTGCGTGGGCCGCTAACTGCTGGCCGCCGACTGCCAGGCTGCCTTCAGGAAAAGGGCTGTTCTAACCCTGGGGCTGGGGCGACTGGCCCGTAGGGGAAGGGTGGCGATTAAGAATCCCCCACTCTGGCTGAAACCGGTTCGGCTCAGTGGATAGAGCATCGGCCTGCGGACTGAAAGGTCCCAGGTTCGATTCCGGTCAAGGCCATGTACCTTGGTTGCGGGCACATACCCAGTGGGGGATGTGCAAGAGGCAGCTGATCGATGATTCTCTCTCATCGATGTTTCTAACTCTCTATCCCTCTCTTCCTCTCTATAAAAAAATCAATAAAATAAAATTTAAAAAAAAGAAAAAAGAATCCTTCACTCTGGCCCAACTTGGGATGGAGCCAAGAGAGTCCAGAATAAAGACTAGATCCTAGGATGCAGCGTTTTCTTCCTGGTTTTAGGGGAGTGGCCACCCAGAAGTCTACCGTGTTTCCCCGAAAATAAGACATCCTCCAAAAATAAGACCTACTTACAGGTTTCCTTCTGAGTGAAATATAAGGCATCCCCCTGAAAATAAGGCCCCCCAGGCTAAACATGAGAGATTTGGTCCACTGATTCTGAAAGAAATGGAGTCACAAGAAATTCACCAAGAAATTCAGGAATTGGATTGTTATGATGTTCCAGAAGAAGATGACATGATTGTCAATGACTAAATGAGTAAATTCTTGATAGTGTAGGATTCACAGTTTGTCTGGTTTGTGTTGACAACTACTGTACTATGGTACCGTATACAGGTAATAAATTTCCTTTATTTTCATTTAACAATAAATGTGTACCATATTCTTCTTCATGGAAAAATAAGACACCCCCTGAAAATAAGACCTAGCGCATCTTTGGGAGCAAAAATTAATATAAGACACTGTCTTATTTTTGGGGAAACAGGGTAGCTTGGAGGGCACCCACCTGGAGGCCCCTCTTATGGCGGGACATCCTGTGGGGGCAGTAGGCCAGCCGAGCTTAGCAGGCTGCCATTTGAACCCGGGACCCCGACTCAAAGAACGAGTCCTTTGTTCTGCTTTTCCTCCTTTTGGTCTCCGATGTGACTGGCAGACTCAAAATCCTCACGAGAGAGGATAAGGAACAGGCCTGGGCAGGGGACCTGCTGGGTCATGTCGGGCTCAGACAGGGCCAGGTGAGCCACCAGGGTCCCTTCCTCTAGTTTGAAGGTATCTAACCACCCCCTGACCTCTTCCCTCACCTGGGGTAAAAGCTGCCGCCAATGAGGAGCCTGCCTAGAGGATACTCTCTCCCTTTGGCCTCGACGGGTGGGGACACCATCAGGTTCCCAATGGAATCCATCGTGATCACCTTCCCGTCCTCGGTGAGTTGGGTCACGTAGCCAACCCCTGGGCTCTGGAAGGAGACCCAGCCGGGGCAGGGGTGTTAGCAGGGGTGGGTTTTAAGCCTCAGACTTTCCCTAATCCAGTCTCTCGGGTAGACCTCCACCCCCCTTACCCCCCGAGGCCACCTGGGCCCTCTCCCCTGGCCCCCCATCCTTTCTGGACAGGCAGCGGGCCTGAGAGGTTGGACCAAGTTCAGATCAGCCAAATCGAGCCCCACACCAGTGAGTATTTCATGGAGAAGTCTTCGAGGTCGGGGATCCGGGGGGTGTCCAAGACCAAGGAGATCAGCTTGTGGGGCGCCTGGGTGTAGCAGAAGGCCATCTCGTCCTGGAGGGACAGGAAAACAAGGGTGACATCTTCTAGCTCCATCAGCTGCTTTCCAGCCCGAGACCTGCTCACCTGGCACAGTGCTCCCCGTCCTGGGCCATCTCAGGGGTGGGGTGGGGGAGCAGTTAAAAACCCCTTCCTTCCTGCCAACTCCTGCTCAGCTCTCATAACTCAGCTCAGGCCCAGCTGGCCTGGCTCAGTGGTTGAGCCTTGTCCTGTGAACCAGGAGGTCCTGGGTTTGATTCCTGGTCAAGGCACATGCCAGCTCGATCCCCAGTGTGAAGAGGCAGCTGATCAATGATTCTCTCTCATTGATGTTTCTATCTCTTCCTCTCCTTTCCTCTCTGAAATCAATAAAAATATATTGGGGGGAGGGAGGGACACCAACTGAGCTCAGCAATAGACCCTGCTTGGGGTGTCATTCTTGCATCCATCAAGTTTAAGATGGGAGTCACCTCGTCTCACCATCTGCACCCAGCCTAGGAACAAGCCTTGGCTTCATTTCTAAAATCCACTCAGGGTGGACGCACCCCCGAGGCCACGTGGGGAAGCCACCAAGACCTCTCCCCTAAGCTTCTCTTCCATTCTGGTCCCTCCCAAGACCTGTTCTCCTCAGCTGGAGGGCTCTTTTCACACTTGACCAGAACATTCACGCCCTGATGCGTGCCCTCCAATGTCATCCCACCTTGCTCGCTCTGGATTTGTTTCTCTTCCTACCCTCGGCCGAAGGGGTCGCTGACATACGACCCAGCACTTACCTGCCTGTGACCTCTGCACTCTGACCTGGCCCGCCCAGCCCCTTTTCATAGTGCAGCCCACATTGCGACCTGCAAGCAGCTGTGCTCTGCCCAGAGGGCTCTTGCTTCTAACCTGCCCCCCAACCCAATCTTTGCATGGCCAGCTCCGGGTCTCCCGAGTTTGAAGATTTTCCAGGCCATCTAGTTCGGGCTAGTAACGTGTGATACCTAATTTCTTGCATTTACTGCACTTGAGGTCAGTGTTGTTGCTAGAGCAGGGGCGGGGAAGAGGGAGGTTTCTAGTTTATCTCACACGTAGAACGGTGCCCCGCACGTGGCAATCACTCAGCTATTTGTGGAGGATGGAGCACCAGGGGACAGACATCCTGCTCTCAGATTGGCTGGACCCCGGAGCCATGCGCCAGCTCTGCCGACCTGTAGCTGAGGGCACCGGACCCTTCAGCTGCCTAGGGTGTTCCGTGGTCCTGACCACGTGCCCTCTGAAATAGAAGGCAGAGTCTAAGCTCCATGCCTTCGGGGCTATGACGTGGGCGAGTCGTGTCACCTGAGCCTCCATCCACTGAAGCCCTAAGAGCAAAGGCGCTTCCAGTTCGGCTTAGCTTCGCCAGGAAGGGTGACCGGGAGCCTGAGATGCCCGCTGTGTGGGCTCCGGTCCAATCTCCCCGGCCCTTCCCCCACCGACAGGTCTCCCCCAGGCGGGGCGTTACCTGGAGCCACCTGCCCAGGCGGTGGGGGTCCTCGTAGACAGACACCACATTGCTGTTATTTTTCTTGCTGAGCTCGGTCACCCACTCCACAAAGCCGTGCACCTGCAGCTCTCTGCGGGGAGAGGAGCAGGCGCTGGGAAGGCCTTGGGGCTCCCCCGGGGGCATCGCCTTGCTGTCCCAGGGCGGGGGCACCTCCTTGCGGTCTGGAGAGATTATGCCCCTGCCCGAGAGCTGTCCCCCAATCTTAGGGACACAGGCTGGCAGCTCAGAGCACGTCTGGCCCAGCATCACAGGACACAGCTCATGGCAGGGTCTGGGCCAGAACTGGTAGCGTCTGTTCCCGCTCTGGTGGCCCAGGCTCTGTCCTCATCCTGCAGCCACATCCACAGTGCCTTCTGCCCCTGCCTCAGGCAGCTGGGGAGCCGCCCCAGGCCCTCTAGAAGGCCGACTCCTCGCCCCAGGGGGCTGCATCTCCCTGGAGAAGTCAAGAAGCGAAGTGTCCCCTTGAGATGGCCAATGAGGCTGTCATGTTTGTACGGGGTTTGGGGGTTGGCCTTAAACCCTAGGATATTAGCACAGTCCTCCGGGCCACGATGCATGTTGGTTCCTTGTCAAAGATAAACAATGATGTTTGAGATTAAGAAGATCACCCATTTTATAAACAGATCCTCCTCGATGAGAAACCAAGATGGCGGCATAGGTAACCACCTAACTGCAGCCTCACACAACAATCTCAAAAAATACAACTAAAATATAAAGTGGACATTATCCAGAACTATAGGAAAGTTGACTGACTGGAAATTCTACAACGAGAAGGAAAGAGAAAACCAGAAGGAAAATCAGAGGAACTGTAAAAGCCTAAGGTACGGAGACACGTTGTGTGCACAGAGAGGACAGAGCCAGAGAGGAGGGGCGGCTGAGTGCCTGGCTGGTGTTCCCTAACAGGAAGGAGATAAAAGCTCCGGACCCTGCTGAGCCCCAGTTCTGACAGCACTGAACCCCAGTTCTGGGCGAGACCCTTGGGCCCCAGGCTCATACAGAGGGAATCTGGGCTGTAAGGCGAAAGCTCAGGGGAGCTGCGAAAGGCAGAGCCCCCGAGTCTTACACATTTCGTGCAGAGGACACACTGTTGATTGAGCTGCTGGATTGCCCTAGCAGGAAGGAGACATAAGCTCTGGACTGCTCTTAACCCTACTTCCAACTGCACTGAACCCCAGTTGCGGGCTCGTTGGGGGACAGACTAGACTGTCTGGTAGCGGGTGAAATTCTAGGGCACCTTTCTCTGAGAGGTGCTTGTAGTGAGTACTGAAGGTCCCTGAGGAACACTGAGACTCAGGAACCTCATAGGGCAGGGCTAACTGGAAGCCAAGGCTGTAGGCTCCACCCTGAAACTCCGCCCCATCCAAGCTGAGCACAGAGGCTCTTGCAGTTTTCCAAGTCTAGTCGAATAAAGCTGTCTCCTGGCATAGATACAGCTGATCCTCCCACCCTACCAACTCAGGGAAGCAGCGAAAATGCTGAGACAAGGAAACAGATCAGAAACAAAAGAAATGGAGGACAAAAAGCAACTGGATACAGAGTTCAAAACCATGTTTAAAAGGTTTTTCAAGAATCTCCTAGAAAAGGCCGATAAAATAAACAAGACCTATGAAGATATGAAAAGGGATCAAATAGAAATAATGAAGGATCAACTAGAAATAAGGGATCAACAAGAAATAATAAGGGAGCAACAAGAAATAAAGAATACATTCTCTGAAATAAAAAATATTATACAGAGTCCTAAAAACAGAATATAAGATTGCAAGAATCAAGTCAAAGACTTGGAACACAAAGACCCAGAGGACACTTCTCTGCAAAAGCAAGAAGACAAGAGAATCCAGAAAGTTGAAGATAGTGTAAGAAACCTCTGGGACAACTTCAAGCGAACCAACATCAGAATTATGGGGGTCCCAGAAGATGAGAGAGAGCAAGATACCGAAAACATATTGAAAGAAATAGAGACAGAAAACTTCCCCCACTTGGGGAAAGAAATAGACTTGCAAGTCCAGGAAGCGCACAGAACCCCAAACAAAAGGAATCCAAAGAGGACCACATCATAATTAAAATTCCAAGAGCAAAAGACAAAGAGACAATATTAAAAGCAGCAAGAGAAAAGCAGGTAGTTACCTATAAAAGAGCACCCATACGATTGTCAGCTGATTTCTCAACAGAAACCATGCAGGCCGGATGGGAATGGCAAGAAATATTCAAGATGATGAATAACAAGAACCTACAGCCAAAAATACTCTATCCAGCAAAACTATCACTCAGAATCAAAGGCCAGATAAAGAGCTTCACAAATAAAAAAAAAGCTAAAGGAGTTCATCACCGCCAAACCAGAATTATATGAATTGCTGAAGAGGGTTCTTTAGGAAGAGAAAGTAAATAAAGATAAAAATTATGAACAACAAATACATAACTATCAACAAGTGAATCTAAAAACCAAGGGAATTAAAAAACCTGATGAACAATATTAACTGTTGAATATAATAGAATCAGAGGTACAGAAAGGGAGTGGACTGACATTTCTTGGGGAAAAGAGGAGAGGGGGGTTCGGGAAGAGACTGAACATAAACTGTGCACCTATGGATGAGGACAATGGGGGTTGGGGAAAGGGCAGAGGGTGGGGTGGGAACCTCGTGGGGGGGGGGGAATGAGGAACTTTTGTTATAATATTAACAATAAAGATTTATTTAAAAAAATACACACACACACACACACACACACACACACACACAGATCCTCACGAGTTGAATGCCGGCAAGGAAGTATCAACATTGGGATTCTAGCTCGGTTCTACCTATAAAACTAGCATTCCCATTCGATGTTGTTGTTCCAAAAATAACATAGGGGTCTGCAAGGCTGCAGGGAGCTTATCAGCCTGAGGAGGTCTAGGTGGCCTGGAGGATGTGTGCTGGGTAAGGACCGGTAGCCCAGTGTCACAGCCATCTGTGGCTGAGCTGGATCAAGCCGTGCCTGAATACCACCACTATGGGGGCTCCCAGAAGACCAGGGTTTCAGCAGATGCCTCCTGTGAGTGAACAACATGTCTTTTTTGTTTTCTTTGGTTAATCCTCACATGAGGATATTTTTTGTTTTGTTTTTTCCCCTTTTTGTTTTTTTTTTGTTTTTTTAGAGAAAAGTGAAAGGGAGAGAGGTAGGGGAGAGAGGGAAGAAGAAAGGGGGAGAGAGGGAGAATGGGAGAGAAACATTGATGTGAGAGGAACACTGATTGATTGGTGACCTGGTTCTACATCTGGGGCCAGGAATAGAACCCGTGGCACTCTAACCACTGACCACACCGGCCAGAGCTGAACAACATGTCTTCAGATACAAAAGACAAAGGTGGGAGAGCTGGAGTCTGTGCGTGTGTTATCAGCAACATGCCTCGAGCTCCTGTCTTTTCTGTTCTCATTCTGAAACCTGCCGTTCCTCCTAGGACCCTGCTCCCCAGCAGCCCCCTCAGAAGAGCTATCTTCCTTTTACGCCCCCGGGCCTGGTGGAGGCAGCCATGTGTTGCTGCTGCCGTGCCATCGTGGCCTCTTTGGATCCTCGACTTGACAGATCTCATTACCGGCCCTACCTCAGCCTTCTAGCCTGAGACCTTGATCTAATGTCCAGTCCCATCCACACCATCTCCCCTGCTTGCCCTGTCCAGTCGCTGGGCCAGAGGCTTGACCTCATGGGGACACCTCTGGCCCTGGACTGCTCTCATGCCCATCACTCTGTCCCTTCACCTTCCTTCCTCCCCGCTCTGAGTCTCGGATGCATCACAGTTATACCCTTGCCCACCACCCACCTCGGCTGATTGGCCTGGCACACCTCCAACCCTGGGAGACCTGGCTCTGTATTCCTGCTTCCCCACAACGGAAGCCCCCGAAACAGCCCAGTAACCATGGACGCTTCCCCAGGATTCAATCTGGCAAGGCCCTCAGCACCGGCGGACTACAAACCATTGCACTTGGGGTCTGTTCCAGCCCCGATGCTCAGGGGCCGCTCGGCCCTGCTGACCTTGACCCTGTCCTCCTCCCTCCCTCCATCCTCCTGTCTGTCGCCTGCCTTCTTCCGGCCCTGCAGGCCTCCTCGCTGTCCCCAGGACACACCCTCGTCCTTGCCCTTCCTTCCTCTTACCTTGTGATAGGACACTTAGTGCTCTCTGAACTCACACCGTTCCCTGTCAGCCTTCCCTAACACCCGGGAGGCTCCGTCCTTCATGCTGTCAGTGCACAGACCCGTATCGAGGACCATCTCAGGGACCAGGCGGCTCCAGGGGGAGGGCTTCACTTTCCTGGGAGATGTCTAGTCCTCTACACAAAGACGAAAGGGGGTGTGGGGAGGAAGCGGCCTGGCCCAGGCGGCCCGAGGGGCGCTCACCTGCACAAGTAGAGCTGCAGAGGCCTCTGGGTGCTCGGGAGGAAGATGCAAGGAGCCACCCTGAACACCACCGTGTCCTTGTACGCCAGGGTCTCTGGAATCAGCTGCAATGGAAGGCACGGCCCTATGTGTGACTGGGATCCACACCTCCCTCCCCTGGCCTCCAGCTGCTCAGGACTGCCACCTGCGGGCGCTCACCTGTGCTCTTTCCTCCAAAGAAGCCCTGAGAGGCCAGCTCCACCCACCAGGCCTTCCTCCCTCTCCTCCCAGCAGAGACTCCCCCCGCCCCCGCCCCCTCCCTCCCCCCGCCGCCCCCCCCCCCCCCCCCCCCAGTCCCTGCTGCAAAGGCGGTGGCCTCCCCGAAGACTGACCGAGTTTTCAGACTGTTCCACCAGGCAGACTGAGTAGGAGATCAGGCCGGAGAAGGTGGCGGACGGGAACTCCGTGGCTTCCACATAGAAGGTCTCCTTCAGGGGGCCCTCCAGGGGGGCAAAGTTGTGAGTGTGCCAGCCAGGCCCCAGCACCAAGTCGAAGGTGTCTGAGTTGTGGGCTAGGAGGGGAGGATGGACCAACCAGCTGTCACCTCACCTGCAGGCCCAGGGTCCCGGCTCCTCCTCCCTCACAGCTCCCTTCTGCTGCCGCTGGCCCTGCAGAGCCTGGGCCAGCTGCGCCTGCTCCCGGGGCCTCCTGCTTCCGGTCTCCCAGAGGCTTCTCTGCTGCCCTTGAAGGGTCAGGGGGTACAAGGAGAGCCTTCCCCCAGGACCCCCACAGCTCGTCAGCCCAGGGGCACAGCCCTTTTGATTCATGGCAGGGGTTCCAGTGTGCCTGGTGCACGGTGGGTTCCCAGCTGCACAGACTGGATCGTGGCTGGCCACCCCTCGAGTTGCCGCAGACCCAGCACCTTCAACAACTCCAGGGCCCTGGGTTCCCAGAGCTGCTCCACTCCAAGAGGCTTTGCTATGTAGTAGGGGGGTGGGGAGGAGTCCCAAGTTCACCTGCTACAAGCCCTTTACCAGGACTCTCAGTTGTTCTGCACTTGACCGTCTCTCTGACCTCGTTGCTGGTTTTAAAACAAAGCTAAGGCTTCATTGTGGACTTGCTATGTACCAGGAACTGGGGAAGGCTCGCTGGCTCATTGGCCTACTCACCCCCAGGAGAGATGGGTGCTGTGATTACCATACCCATCATCTGGATAAGGAGGGAGAAGTGGCGAGAAGCCTTACGACCCAGGCCCTTCGGCCCTCACCCCACAAGCTGGCCCTGCTCCCACGCTGGACGCAAGCTGGTCCGATATATATATATATTTAAATTTATTTCAGAGAGGAATGGAGAGAGCGAGAGAGAGAAACATCAATGATGAGAATCATTGATTGGCTGCCTCCTGCAAGCCCCCTCTACTGGGGAATCAAACCTGCAACCAGGGCATGTGCCCTTGACCAGGATTGAACCCAGGACCTTTCAGACTACAGGCTGACACTCTATCCACGGAGCCAAACCAGCTAGGGCAGGCTGGCCCAATATAAACCACGAGTTCAACAGAGGCTTGGCTGAAGCTAAGCACAGCTCCGCTTTCTAGGACAGGGGCAGGCCACTGCCTGCAGGTTGATGAGGGCTGAAGGTGGCCATGTGTGTCGTGGTGCCCGAGATGGACATGCTAGCATCGCTGCCCCTGGCTTCCTGGCCTCTGCCTTCTGCAAACCTAGTCTAGTGGAGTCCTGGCTCAGAAATGTCAGCAATGGAGCCCGCTTCTTCTGGCGGGAGAAACCGGGAGAGCCATTACCTATCTGCATAGGCAATCTCTATCTTTCTAGCTATTGTGCCTGTCGCCCCCTCCAGATGGGAAAATCCTGCAGGACAGGCACCCGCACTGGGAAGGAGGCCCTGAGGTGCAAGGCCTCACCTACGGGTGCAGACAGTTCGGTGGCTGTGGCAGCCAGACAACCCTAGGCATTCAGGTCTGGCCCCGTGGCAGGGGTTGGGGGAGGGGCGGGTAGCTGTAGCCACAGCTCACCTGGAGGTGAGAGAGGGGGCAGAGCTGGTACAAAGCGCTCACCTTGGCGCCGGTAGACTCTGCCCTTCCTGGCCTCGTGCTCGGAGGTGTAGAGAAGCAGCCGGTAGTTCTTTAACACGCAGCTGGGCCCCTGGACGCTCAGCACCATCTGGGACAGAGTCTTTATTTCTGAGCAAGAGACAAGGCCAAGGTTCGGGGCGCCTGGAGGCCAGCACTCCGGGAACGAGGCTTGTGTGTTGGAGCGTGGGGACCTCCGCCCCCTGTGCTGGCCCAGGCTGCCCAGGCCTGTGTTACGTTACAGGAAGCTGGGTCCACTTGGAGGGAGGGTGGCATTGACCCCACAGGGCGGTCCACAAGTACCTAGAACAAGGCCCGGTGCGGCCAGTTCCGTGTGAGGTTCCCTCCAGCCTTGGTGGAACCAGAACATCCGTTCTCCGGCTAAGTCCTAGAACCTAGGTCCCACCCCCACCTCAGGACCAGACCCAGACTGCTTTTGCCTGAGACTGTCAGCATTCCTGCCCCGGACTCAGAGGGTTTTCAGAAGTGTCTTACATGTCCCTCTGGGCCTTCCTTTAGTCTTCTCGTCCACCTTCCAAGGCCAATGGTGTCATGCCCATTTTACAGATGGCAGAGCAAGTTCAGAGACGTCCACATGCTCAAGTTCACAGCCAGGAAGTAACTGTTAATAGGACACCCAACCCCATGCTCTCCCTGTGGGGCCCTGGGGCCTCGTCCTTCCTACTTACAAGCTTCAAGCCATTGGTCAGAGACCTGATTGGCCGATCAGGGATGTGGGCCTGGCATCCGGTTTGCCGGGAGGCGGGGCTGTGAAGCTGGGGCAAGGCGGAGCCCCCGGAGGGAAGGTGGCAGCATCCCAGGCCAGGGCCAGTCCTTTCTTACCCTCGGACGAGAACTCCTTGTTCTTGTCTCCGTCCTGGACATGGCCATTCGGTTTGCAGTTCACGAGCAGGATGGCTCCCCAACCACTGGGGCCCCAGACCCAGTCCTTCTGCAAAGACGATAGAAATGTGGGTTCGGAAAGATGTCGGGTCCTAATAAACCCTGTGCCTCCCAGATGCTGACCCCTCCCCCACATCAGGGACAGAGCCAGGTCTCTCTTCAGGGGGGTGGGAACCCCTATCTGCCAGCTCAAAGGTCTTACTGCCTGAGGAACGTGGACCAAGAGCAAGGGAACGCTGTCCAGACATGGGCCTCCAGCCTTCTGCCTGGGGTTCCGGGAAGAGGAGACTGAGAACCAGTGGAGGAGACGCGTCCCATCCAACGGGGGCAGCTGACCCCACCACCAGACGTGGTGTCAACCCAGTGTTGCCTAGCGTTCTCATTTGTTGTTGTTGTTTTTTTAAATATATTTTATTGATTTTATACAGAGAGGAAGAGAGAGAGAGAGAGAGAGAGAGAGAGAGAGAGAGAGAGAGAGAATTAGAAACATCGATGAGAGAGAGTCATCGATCAGCTGCCTCTTGCACACCCCCTACTGGGGATGTGCCCGCAACCAAGGTACATGCCCTTGACCGGAATCGAACCCGGGACCTTTCAGTCCCCAAGCCGATGCTCTATCCACTGAGCCAAACTGGTTTCGGCTTGTTTTTTTTTTTTTTTTTTTTTTTTAAGCTAGAACCGGTTTCATCAGCTCCCATCTATGCTGTAGCACTTTAACAGACATCAGGAAGGCCACACGGTAAGGCTGTTGCCGGATCTGGCTCCGGGGCCCAGCCTGCACCCTCCCTCCACTGCCTAACCTTAGTCCATTTGTCTTTCGGCGCCTCCACTTTCCCGCTGCGGTTGATGTCCACGTCCAGGGAGACCTCTGCAACAGGAGGGACAGGTCAGCCCCCGGACTGCTGGGCGGAGCCTCGGGGGTGTGGCTAACCCCCAGGGCTGCCGAAGGCTGGCAGCAGGGCCTCCAGCCTCCAGGCGGCTCGGCTCAACAGAGAACGTTCCTCCCTGACAGACCGAGTCTCGTGAAGAAGCCTGGAGCGGCCCTCTCTCCCCGTCTCCCCCAGCCTCTTGGGGACTCAAAACCAGGCCGCTGTGGTCACGATGCCACTGCATGCCTGATGGCCGCTCCCCGGGGGACCCCTACCCCGAAGGCTAGCCTCCCCAGCCTTCTGGAAGGCTCCTGGCTCCCTAAGACATAGGAAGGGCTCAAGAGCTGGCCACCGCAAGTCCGAGCCTAAGGACCAGGCTCCGCCCAGGTGTCAACCGGGATGTTGGCGCCATGGAAACGGGCATCAGCGACCACTGTGCACCTTGCACCCGGCAGATGCTTAGGCCCTGGTGCCGGCCACGGAGCAGGGACCTCTCTAATCCCAGGGGAACAGCTGCACCAAGACGGGCCCTTTCTCCTCCTCCGAGTGTGAAGGCGTGCGCACACAGGCGGCAGGGGGAGGAGACATAGCAAAGCACATGCGTGTCTGATGGTGAAAGCGCCATGGAGAGGAGGAAGGGGATGGAGCGGGTTGTCTGTTTTTAATGATCAGAGGAATCTTCCCAGTGGAAATGCGACCAGGGACACGGAGGAGGAGGCCAGAAAGGGATCCCTATTAACATCGGGAGGAAAAGCAAATCGAACAGGAAGTGCACGGTGGCAAGTTCAAGGGTCAAAGACACCCACCTGCCCAGGGCAGAGTGAGCAAGAGGAAGAGAAACAGGGCACAGGTTGGAGGTCCTGTGGGTTCTGTGGGTAACGGTAATGGGCAGGGGATGGAGAGGTGGGGAGTGGGGAGGAGGGGGAGGGAGGCATTGGCTTTCATCCAAGACCATGGAAGAAGCAGTGGGAGGCTCGGACCCCGGGGGGACAGTAGCTGATATCCTGCCACAGGTGAGCCGCTCGGGGGAAGGCTGGACCTGTGGAAGGGCAGGGACGGAGAGGGAATCCCACTGGGGGGCCTCCACAGGGACACAGGCAAGAGTGGCCAGCAGCTCAGACCAGGCCGAGGGCATTGCACGTGGCGAGTAGCTGGATTCCGGATTCCGGCTAAACATAGGTTTAGCCCAAGATTCGCAGATCAGCACAGGCCACTGGGAGAATGAGGGTGGCACCAAGGTGTTTGGTTGGACCAGCTCGAAGGATCGACTACTATGCAGGGGTCCTCAAACTTTTTAAAGTGGGGGCCAGATCACGGTCCCTCAGAGAGCTGGAGGGCCGGACTATATGAACTACTAATTCCTACTGTAACACCTCGGCTGCGCTCACTGCCCAAAAAACCTGGCGGGCCGGATCAGACTCCTCTGCGGGCTGCATGTGGCCCACGGGCCGTAGTTTGAAGACCCCTGATTGAGGGAGGGAATTAAAAACATGTGCTTGGGGGAGAGAGATCTGCCCAATTTGGGATCGATCACATTTATGGTGTTGGTTAGACACAAGACATTGTGTTGGGTCAGCAGATAGCCAAGCCAAGTTTATGGGAGACACCCGACTCGAGTTGGGGAGTCATCTGACTGTAGAGCCACGTGACGAGCTGCCTGAGCCCCGAGGCACTGCAGGGCTCCAGGGGGGGATCCAGCAAAGCATCGGAGAAGGCCCAGCCAGCTAGTAGCAGGGAAACTGAGGCAGGGTCCCTGGAGTGATTCAAAAGAAACATCCAAAGGTAACAGGTTGTACTAAACACTGACAGAGGTCAAGGGAGAGGAAGATGGAGTCGGCCACTGGCCTCAGTGGAGTAGAAGTTGTTAGGATCCTCTACAAGGGGAGAGGGGGAGAGGGGGAGAGGGGGAAAGGGGGAGAAGGGGAGAGGGGGAGGGAGGGAGAGAGAAGGGAGGGAGAGAAAGAGGAGAGGGAGAAAGGAGAGAAGAGGGAGGAAAAGAGAAAGGAGAGAGAGAAAGAGAAAGGAGAGAAAAGGGGGTGGGGGGTGTTTATACATTGAACAGATTCGGGAAAAGAAGTTGAGGTTGCAGAGATGGCTCCAAAGGAGCAGAGGAGTGAGTTTGAAGATAATATAGAGACTGTCCCCCCCAAATATATACACACTTTAACAGCTGATAGCTCAATTTTGAAAATGAAATGTATTTTTAATAAACATTGCCTTTATAATTACTCAAAGAATGGGGATATACTATATATATATTGATATATATATTGGGGGGACACCCTAGAATCAGATTTAAGAGAATAAATGGTACGGCTTATCTTTAAGAGAATAGCCGTTATAGCTTGTGCTGGACTGATCCAGAAGAGGGGAGAGGTAGTGGCAACCTATGCCAGTAAGAATTAGGAAGGAACGCTCTTAGGTGTGAGCAAGCGGGGAAAGGGTCTGGTGTGATAAAGTTAAACTTTGAACCAGACACTCCATTGTCCCAGAGGCGGGCATGTTGGCACCAGACACGGGAACATGTGGACAGACTGCGTCCGTCCTGAGCCTTAGGCCACAGTGAGGGGGGCAGAGAGAAGAGGCTGAGCTCTGAGAAGGGAGTGAGTGTGAACCGTTCGCGGGCCGGTGGAAGGCACCTCATTCCCGGGACAGACCCTTCCCTGGTTTCTGCCGCGCCCGCCCCTCCTCTCCAGGGCTGGGAACCCCACTCACCGAGGCCGGTGAGGAAGAGCTCGGCGGTGGCCATGGGGACCTTCCAATCTGGCAGGTAGTACTGCACCGAGACCTGTGGAGACAGCACCCAGAGCCCACGGGAGCACTGAAGGCGGGAGCAGGGCCTGGGCCACGCACCCAGGCCTTTTGACCGCGGCCTCACATCTCACATCTGACGTCTGGCTGTGAGCCGGGACAGGCCTACTATGTTGGAACTCAGTAGGTGAAGAGCAACCATTTCAACAAGCCGTGAACCTCTCCAAGGACTTCCACCACCGCTTCCAGACCTTCGAACCACCGCTCCAGGCGGGCTCTACGCCCAGGGCAGAGGGACCTTTGGCAGGACTTGCCCTTGACATTCACCCAGGAAGGGGTCACACAGGACTGAAGATCCAGGCCACTGGCTCTGGAGGTCACACTTTAAACCACATCCTTCTCTTCACTATACGTCCCCTCCCGGGGTTCACCACCCCATGAGGCGGGCAGAGGCCTCCTGTAGGTTAAGCCACTCTCTCAAAAGGGCATGGAACACCTGGGGCGGGGACTGGAGTTGGAACTCAAGTCTTTCCAGTGTCCCAAGCCAGATCTGCTTAAGGCCTGCCCTCCAGCCGCTGGCCTTGACTACAAGGCCTTCATCCCGAACCTGAGAAGCAGACATTAGCTCAGGCCACACCTGCGTGCCTGTGGCCTCCTCAGTGGGAGCGCCTGTCCTCCACGGTCAAGCCCCTCACTCCGGACGCCACTCCTGACCGCGCTGGAGGCCGAGCCCCGGCAGAGAATGCGTCCCGGGTCGCCTGGGCTCCGGGGGGGACACATCACAGCCTCCGCTCTCACCGGGGAGACCCCAATGCTGCCTATCTGTACCACCTGCCCCAGGGAACTGCCTGCCCGGGACACAGCGTTGCGTGGGTACAAACCACCCACCGGCCACCCCAGCCGAACCCTCCCAGGGGCCTCTCCAGCAGGCTCTGCTGAGAGGCAGCCGAGCCCTGCAGCGCCTCAGTGACCCTCACCCTCAGCGTCTCAGGGGCGTCACCTGGAGAGCGGGGAGCTGCCCGAGGCTGGCTTAATTGGTGGGGCTGTGGCTCAGGTGTTGAGTGTTCGAGTCCCTGGGGCTTCTAATGACTCTGCAGAGGGGCCGGATCCTTCCAGAAACCACCACCAGAGCCTCTCCCAGAGGAGCCTCATGGCCTGTCCTCCCAGGTGGACCCCAACCCACCTGCCACAGGGGCCCCGTGAGAGAAGACACTCGCCCAGGAGAGAGGGCGCAGACTTGGCTCAAATCCAGGATCAATGCCCCCCACCCCCACACACACTCTAGTTATGCCATTTAAGTTCAAATAGGCCGCTCTGTGCCTCCGTTTCCTCATCTGTAAAATGGGTTGATGAAGCCTAGCATTTGCACTTAGTTTTTATTAGAACGTCTGCCTACAGAGAACCAGCCTCCGCCCAACGGCACATTGGCGCTCAGCTGCCGACACCTTTTCGGGCAGGTTTTTCAAAGCAGCTGGTCCTCTCGGGGCCTCAGTTTCTTTATCTGTGCAGTGGGGTCGTGGGGTGCCCAGTTCACAGGTTTGTTGTGAGACTTAAAGACCAGGCATGACAACCACTTGGCCCCCCACTTTTCACAGACTCAGGAAATGCCAGCTGTCCGGAGGGAGACCCGGTGGTATGAGCTGCCACCTCCCTCGGCCCACCCCTGCCCCGCTCCCCAGCCTACCTTGTCCTCCCCGACGCCAGGGCTGGGGGCCGTCATCTTCACCAGCACGTCCATGAACTCGCACGGGAGCAGCTGGATGTTGGTGCCCTCCTTGTTGGTCGTCACCGGGACTATTTGGGGGATGTTCACGGAGACCCTTGCGGAGCTCCTGATGCTGAAGGAGGAGCACTTGGGCGGGGCACAGCTGGTTCGGCCAAGAGACAGACGTTAGGGCCCGAGAGCCTCCCCTTCTCAGCCCGGCCTCCCGGCCTCTCCCCGCTCAGAGGGCCGAGGCACCCTCACTGACGCTCGGCGGTGGGTGGGTGGGTGAGTGGGGGGTCCTAGAACAACGTCAGCCTTCCTCTAAGGACCCCCGCGTCCTCTCTCCCACAAGCTCCTGCTCAGACCCCACCCTCTCACCCACGCCCAGGTGGGACCGCTGTTCTCCATGGAGGTTGGAAATGACCAAAGCAACGTCTTTTTTATAAACCCCAACTCCCAGGGAGGGAGGAGCCACAAGGGACGCCTGTAGCAGAGAGGACGTGGCCTGGGACTCGGAGGGTCGGACTCTGACCCCGGGGAAGACCTGGCCTCTTCCCCCGCCGGAGGCTCCAGTTTACTGGAGTCTCTCCCGTGAGAGCCAGCCCCTCCCCCGCCTCAGAGGAAGGGGACAGAGGGAGGGGGCACCGCTTCTAAGGGGCCACAGCCCACAGGGGCAGGTATAGGGTCTGGGTGAGCATCTGGGCTTAGTCCTTAGGGACCCAAACTCGGCTCCTTGAGCTAAGGCAGGAGGACGAGGGGAGATACAGAGGTAGGAGAAAGCCCCAACCTCCACATAACCCAGGGGCAGACCCAGGAGGACAGAGAGCACCAGCCTCCCAGCCCAGACCCACCCCCCACAGCCTGGCAGAGCCCCAGCTCCTCACCCAATGAGGTCCAAGGTGATCTCCTCACCCACCATGCACACCGCACGGGTGGGCTTGTCCAGGGACAGGTGGATGATGCTCTGGGAGGACATGGCAGGCCCTGTACGTTCAGCGCCCTCGCCAACCCAACAGCCGCAGCTGACCCCCGGCGCTCTGCCGCCCTCCCCTCTTATAGGCTCGGGGCCTCCCCAGGCCGCCCCTGTTAGGCTCCAGCCGGTGCCCAGGTGGGACCACTGTTCTCCATGGAGGCTGCGGAGGGGCAGGTGGGGCCAGAGCCTCCAGGCACCACCTACTGGGCAGCCTGGGCTTGCAGACACGAGGCCCATGTGGAGCCGGCTACTCAGCTCTCTGGCCTTCAGCTGGGAGCAGGAGGGACTCTGGGTGGGATGGGCCAACCCGCCCCAGCGCTGGGGACCGACTCAGCGGGAAGCTGTCAGGAGCAAGTATCTGCAGGGGTGCTGGGCGCTGGTCAGGGTGGCTCAGTGGTAGCTGCGCCAGACTCTGGGGCCTCAGCTCTAAGGGTGCGTTTGCTGGAAAAGGACGAGGTGAGCCCTGCAAAGCACTGGGTCCGTGGTTCTGGACGCTCTGGTGGTTGCAAAAATGCCCACAGAGGCTGGTTCAAGTCGCCGCCCATCCGGGACCAGGCAGGTCTGGGGTGTGGCCCGGGAGGCCATGTCCCGCCCTGGGCCGTGAGGGGGAGCTCCTTGTCCACCCCAGGCCGCCAGGGCCCGGCAGGGCCCGGCAAGTGTTGGGAGGATGAACAGAGGAGCCCACGTGGCACACGTTCACCAGCTGCGCCTCGTTCCGCTGAGCTCGCTGAGCAGAGCAACCGGAACCGCTGCTCCAGCCCTGGGCGCACCAGCTGACGTCAAAACGGGGTTCCTCTCTGTCTTTACAGATAAATGTGTGTGTGTTGTCCTTGAGAGCCAGCCCCTCCCCCATCTCAGAGGAAGGGGACAGAGGAGAGGGGCACCCTTCTGCCAGGCTGCTGGGGGTGGGTCTGGGCAGGGAGGCTGGTGCCTGGCTGCCTCCCGGGTCTGCCCCTGGGTTATGTGGAGATTGGGGCTTTCTCCTGTCTCTGTATCTCCCCTCGTCCTCCTGCCTTAGCTCAAGGGGCCGAGTCTGGGTCCCTAACTGCAAACATGTGTGTGTATCCTCCCTCCTTATCTTACACAAATGGCAGGCTGTGTTACACTGTGTTCCTTACCTGGCTTTGTTCGCATCACAGTACAATTCACACAGCAGGTGTTCAGAGCAGTGTGTGAAAATCACCCTCCTCCTTTCTAATGGCTGCATAGTATTCCCAGGGGTGTCTCCTGAGAGCCCCCTCCCGCCCCAAACCTCCTGGGGGCCAGTCTTCCTCTCAGAATCAGAGATAAGACAGTCGCCATGCCAAAACCGGTTTGGCTCAGTAGACAGAGCGTCGACCTGCAGATTGAAAGGTTCCAGGTTCGATTGAGGTCAAGGGCATGCACCATGGTTGCGGGCACATCCCCGGTAGGGGGTGTGCAAGAGGCAGCTGATCGATGTTTCTAACTCCTCTCTCTCTCTTCCTCTCTGTAGAAAATCAATAATAATAATAAAAAGAGACGGTCGCCAAACAATCTCCGTTCAGAAGTTCTAAAGTCCAGACCCTCGCAAAAGTAAACCTCCCAGCTTGGGTTTACGAAGGGAAGGCTTTCCCATTGGGATTTCGTGGAGGAAGAGGTGTGGGGCTGTGGAAAGGGGGCACCGGCTTCCTTCTGTCCTTGCTGCCTGCCCAGCCGGCCGGGGCTGGCTCCTGACCTGCAGCAGACTGAATAACAGCCCCCAACGCTACCAGGTCCCCATCCCTGGGACCTGCGGGTCTCGTCTGGCAAGAGCCTTGGCAGGGGGGACTGAAGCTGCAGATGTGACCGAGTCTTTGCGTGGGGACCTTATCCTGATCACCTGAGTGGGCCCTGAATGCCATGCAAGTCTGCTTAGGAGAGAGGAAACCCTCAGAGGAGACTGGACGCCCTCAGAGGAGAAGGCGCTGTGACCACACAGGCAGAGGTTGGAGTGATGCGGCCACCAGCCAAGGCCAGCCGGCCGCCACCAGAGGGAGGAGGAGCCAAGAAACGTGCTCCCCGGAGCCCTTGGAGGGGACCAGCCCTGCTGACACCTCTATGTCAGCCCGGTGAGGCGGAATTCGGCCCTCTGGCCTCCGGAACCAGGAGAGAATGGATTTCTGTTGTTCTCAGCCACCCCGTCGGTGGTCATTTGTTACCGCGGGTGCAGGAAGCTAACCTGTGGCCTGGGGGTGGGGGGCAGCAGGCACAGGATGGCCCGTGCTCTGTGGGGCTGGAAGGACTTACCCCTGGGGCTCTCTCCACCCGGGCTTCCCTGACTCCCTGACAGATGCCCACCCCCATGAAAGGCTGGGGGTGCTCACTGCATTGACCTGGGTGTAAGGTAAGGTGACCAGACATCCCGCTTTTGGCGGGACAGTCCTGCTTTTGAACAATTTGTCCCGAGGCGTTTTAAAAAAGTCCCGACTTTTGGAAAACATTGGGACTTTTTAAATTTTATTTATTTATTTTTTATTTTATTGATTTTTCACAGAGAGGAAGGGAGAGGGAGAGAGAGTTAGAAACGTTGATGAGAGAGAAACATCGACCAGCTGCCTCTTGCACCCCCCCCACTGGGGATGTGCCCGCAACCAATGTATCGATACATGCCCTTGACCGGAATCGAACCTGGGACCCTTCAGTCCACAGACCGACACTCTACCACTGAGCCAAACTGGTTTCGGCAAAAATTGGGACTTTTTTTTTTTTTAAAACACCACGGGATGCGAGACAAATTGTTAAAAGTCGGGACTGTCCCGCCAAAAGCGGGACATCTGGTCACCTAGTGGAAGGACTGCTTTGGCCACCAGCTCCTCTCTCTGCTCTTTGCGGCCTCGGAGGCTGTCGGCTCCTAGCAGCCCTGTCAGTCAGGTTTGGGGATGGCCTCACGCCAACATCCCCCTGCACAGGCACTTTTTTTTTTTTTTTTTGCTTTGTAAGAAACGCTGACGCATTGCGCCCAGCACGTGGACGGGGAGCAGCTGCTTCTCTCCAGCAAGGCACCAGGCACGGTTCCCCAGGTTTATGGTCCCTTTCTCCCTAGCGCGAGGGCAGAGGCTTCGCCCGCCCATCTTATCCACCCGTGTTCTCCCCAGCCCCGGGACAGCGGCACCTCTAGGTGTCAAACCACTAGCTCGATGAGCCAAGACCCGGCCTCAGTTTCAAAGATCTCGGGTCATCATGTTTTATTTCCTACTAGAGGCCTGATGCACGAAATTCCTGCACGAGGAGGTCTTTCTTCTCTTCCCACGCAGCCCCAGCTTCATCCGGGAGGTCGCCTGGAAGGACGTCTGGTCTGATTAGCATGCTACGCTTTTACTGTTATAGACTGCGGAACCTGTGTCCCCATGCTAGGGCCATAGGAGAAAATATGCGAAAAGGACGCAGAAAGGGGACTAATGAATCCATTCCACAATAACCCACCACTCCTGCTATGCACCCCCGTCCCCTCCCCCTCACTAGGTGGCCCGTGGCGAAGCAGCAGCAGGAGCCCCTGCTCCACGGGGCTTTCCAGCTGGCGGACTGAAGCGACTGAGGGAGGACAAGGCGGATTCGCTAACCGCTGGGCACACTGACACACAGCCCACCCCCGAGGCCCCCTTTGGGCTCTTGCATCGCCCCTCGGCTGCCTTTCCCTACAAAGCACAACATGAACGGCATCTGGTCCTCGGGCGCAGGCAGGAACAGGGGCCCGCAAGTTTGCAATGTTCGGTTCAGCCATGACAACGGGCGAGAGTGAATGAAGAGATCATTATAAACTTTTATTGGAGCTTCTCACAGCAGAGCTGAGTTTGCAATGCCAGGACCATCTGGGGATCTTCAGAGGGGACGCAGGGACAGAAGCAAGCCACAGCCCGGAGGGGGGCCACCCCCCGGAGAGCCAGTGTGTCCCCAAGAACTCTTGCTAGGCCACACCACAGGGAGCCAGAGCCTCTGGCCAGGAGCTTCCCGAGGGAGAGGACGCTGGCAGATGGGCTCAGGGCACCATGTGCCACCACTTGAAGGAGAAGGGCTGCCGGCGGACATTGGTCCCACAATGCACCTCCCCGTGCTGCAGGTGGTACGGGGTGAAGTCGTCGATGAAGGTGCAGTGGAGGCCCAGCGGCTCCAGCAGGGCCCGCACCTTCTCCTCCAGGCAGCAGCGGCCGTTGATGACGGGCCCGAAGGGCTTGGGGATGCCCAGGTGCTTGCCCAGCACCAGCATGTTCACCTGCAGACGGGGAGGGCCCGGGTCAGGGGCGGGGCGTGCAGCCCGCATCACTATCCCAGCGCCGCCCCGCCCTTCTGGCCTTCAGAAATAACAGCCCCACTTCACAGATGAGGAGACTGAGGCCCACACGGTACAGTGGGCTGTCGGAGACCACCAGCTAGTCTAGGACTTCCACCCACGTGTGCCGAGCTCTGGGACCCAGGCTTCTTCCCCACCACCACCTCCTGGCCAACTCTGTGACTCAGCTCAGCTCAGCTCAAGTGCCACCCCCTGTGTGAAGGCGCCTGCGAACCCCCAAACTCCTCATGGATGTTCCCATAGCTCCGAGCACAGGGCCTGGCACACAGTAGGCACTTAATAAATAAGTTATCTGTGGACGGGATGGATGTGACGACTTCTTTTGAAGCACGTCCTGTCTGTTATCACTTATGCAAACAGCTGTTTCCTCCGTTATCCTGGGAGGTGGCCCGGTGAGATGGATCTCAGCTTCAGGGTTTGGATCTCAGCTCTGCTCTTTAGTAGCTGTGTGACCTCAGGCAAGTCCCTTCCCCTCTCTGAGCCTCATCAGCAAAATGAGCCCCACCCTGTTTCCAACGCTAAGACAGTTAGATGAGAACACGGGTGCTGGCACACAGTAGGTGCAGAGTCAGTCTCCAGGGCTCAGGAATCGCTGAGGAGGCATCTCATTGTCAGCGCTCAGACACAGTCCACACCGAGTGCTCACAGTCTCAATTTCTCTGCTGTCCCCGCCCGCCACCTCCCACGCGGCTGTGGGAGAGCCTCCCTGCAGGGG